GAAATATTGAACTGTCTACTTCAGATTTTATAGCAGTATCAAAATTATTTAATGCATACTGTTGGGATCAGAAGATCTTATTACTGCACTTTTATATTTTCCCCAGAGCACTGGTGCTGGATGTTCTCCTGAGATGAGATTCTGAGGTAGATTGATATCGGGTCAGACTTGGTGTAGCAGTTTCTGTTTTCTTATGTCAATTAACTTTTAGTAAATAACCAGTCTGACTACTTCTGCCTTTTATCAGATCTTAAGAGTTTCTTGCTCGGTACAATGTAAGTCTGGAAAGGAAATCAGATGGTTAAAGCCAGAGATGGCCATTGCCTGTTAAAATGATTATTGGTCTTGCACAGTACTCAGCTGGGCTAAGGTAGGTGCTGGATTTTTTTAAGTTGGTAATAGAGCTGACACTTTATAGCAGAGGTATTTCCAGCTCCCACTTTTTAGCCAGAAATGGACAATATATTAATTTTTTTTTTACAGGTGTCCTAACCTTTCATCTTATTTATTTCTTTGTTCTTCCTTTCCTTCTTGTCATTAATTAATTCACTTCTGTTTGAGCTGTGCTTCTCCATTTGGGTATCCTGCCCTTTACAATATTTTCAACATCTCTGCTGAGCAAGCTAGGTTAGTTCAATTCATTTTAGCAACTGATATTTTCACTGTGTTCTTCTTGAAATATTATACCAATAAAATTCTAAGAATAGCCATACTGGGACAGACTAAAGGGCAAGCACACACACTGCTTCTGCATAATACTCTCCCAGCTTCCAACTATTGTCAGCTCAGTTTCTACATAGCTATTTATTTATATGTAGTACATTGCTCTTCCTTAAACTTATGCAATCTCCTTCTGAATCCATTTCAATTTTACTGTCTCCAACAAGGACCAAGGAGTTCACCCACCCATGAGGGACTACCATCTTTATTTTGTTCTGACCTGGCTTCTCCTAATTACAGTAAATCCTCCCACAATTGTTGTATTGGAAGCGAGAGTAAACAAAACTGATGCTCTTCCACTCAATCCAGGCTGCCAATGATTGCAAAAACCTTTAATTCTCCCTACCCCTTGCCATCTCTTTTGTAAAGACTTCTAGCTTACTCAGATGTTCCTTATATTGAAAGCATTTCATACCTTTCATCACCTTCGTTATTGTTCTCTTACCCTTTCCCAGTTCTGCATTCTTTCTGAGATGTCCCACTTTTGGTCTAAGCCAAAATATACAAAAGGTTGCACTTGCTCCATTTCACAGTGGTGTCCATGGGGTTATATGGTAAAATGAAAGTGGAAGGAGAAAGAGTACTGGCATAGATGAACAAGCTGGTGTATCCATACACTTTAATGATCCTTATGGCTCTGACAGCAATTGGATTTGGCATACTGAAAGCTAATGGGTGAACCTGCTGGATAATCACAACTGTACAACTATGACAAGAGCTCATCCTGCTTTCCTCTTCACCAACTGGTCACTCAGGGCCTTGTTCACACATTTTCAACATGTGTTAGATGTTTCCCTCTATGCTGAATACACTATTTTTTAAATGTTACTGATTCATGAAAGAACTCTACAACTCAAAGCAAATGAGTTATAAAGTATATGTGGTTTATTTTGGCGCCAGGTGCATGCAGGATAGCTCCCAAAGGCATGCACACCCTAACGCGGCAACTTGCTTTGCTTATATGCAGTAAAGAGTTACATATGCATGGAGTTTCCCAATACGCCTATACATATTCATAACATATCCCCGCTTTGTATTCAAATTAGCTCCAAGAAGTCATTTCCATAAACACATCCCGTCTGCGCTTGTGCAGTGCCTTCTGGGCACTGGTTGTCAGGGGGTCGTGGGGATGAAGGCTGATAACTCTTCTTCATCACCACTAGTTGACCCCCTGCCTTTGTACAGACTCAGTTGCTCCTTGGCTCTTGTCCAAACCACAAGGTCGGTCTCAGCTGGTTTTTGAGACAGGTTCCCCATTTTTGTCAGGAAACATCCTCTGTGGGGCCCTGAGATTCCTTGTTTTGGTTAATTTGCACAGTAGTAAGCAAAGACAATCAGCAACATTTATTCTTAATGCAATTAAGTGAGCCCCCATTCTTCCATTCCCCGTGGAGGATGTGATTGTCGGGAACAGTCTTGGGCAGAGTGACCACGAAATGGTGGAGTTCACTATTCTTGGCGGGGCCAGGAAGGGAACCAGTAAAACCACTGTATTGGACTTTCGGAGGGCTGACTTTGGGCTGCTCAGGACACTAGTTGGTGGAGTCCATGGGAGGCGGTTCTGAAGGGCAGAGGGGTCCAGAAAGGCTGGGCGCTCTTTAAGAGGCAAATCCTAATGGCGCAGGAGCGGTCTATTCCCATGCGCCCAAAGATGAGCCAGCGGGGAAGAAGACCAGCCTGGCTCAACAGAGAATTGTGGCTTGAGCTTAGGAGAAAAAAGAGGGTTTATAATCTTTGGAAAAGTGGGCAGGCCACTAAGGAGGACTATAAGGATGTAGCGAGGCTGTGCAGGGACAAGATTAGGAAGGCCAAAGCTCATCTGGAGCTCAATCTGGCTACTGCTGTTAAAGATAACAAAAAACGCTTTTATAAATACATCAACACAAAAAGGAGGACTAGGGAGAATCTCCATCCTTTACTGGATGCAGGGGGAAACTTAGTTACAAGAGATGAGGAAAAGGCGGAGGTGCTTAATGCCTTCTTTGCCTCAGTCTTTAGCGGCAAAACCGGTTGCTCTCTGGATACCCAGTACCCAGAACCTGGTGGAAGGGGACGGGGAGCAGGATGTGGCCCTCACCATCCACGAAGAACTGGTTGGTGACCTGCTACGGCACTTGGATGTGCACAAGTCGATGGGGCCGGATGGGATCCACCCAAGGGTACTGAGAGAACTGGCAGAGGAGCTGGCCAAGCCCCTATCCATCATTTATCAGCAGTCCTGGCTATCGGGGGAGGTCCCAGCTGACTGGCGACTAGCCAAATGTGACGCCCATCTACAAGAAGGGCCGGAGGGCAGACCCGGGGAACTACAGGCCGGTCAGTTTGACCTCAGTACCAGGGAAGCTCATGGAGCAGATCCTCTTGGGAGTCATCATGCGGCACTTGAAGGGCAAGCAGGCGATCAGGCCCAGCCAGCATGGGTTTATGGAAGGCAGGTCCTGCTTGACGAACCTGATCTCCTTCTACAACAAAGTGACGCGCTGGGTGGATGAGGGAAAGGCTGTGGATGTGGTCTACCTTGACTTCAGCAAGGCTTTTGACACCGTCTCCCACAGCATTCTCCTCAAGAAACTGGCTGCTCTTGGCTTGGACTGGCGCACGCTTCGTTGGGTTAGAAACTGGCTGGATAGCCGGGCCCAAAGAGTTGTGGTAAATGGAGCCAAGTCCAGTTGGAGGCCAGTCACTAGTGGCGTCCCCCAGGGCTCGGTGCTGGGGCCAGGTCCTCTTTAACATCTTCATCAATGATCTGGATGACGGCATTGAGTGCACCCTCAGTAAGTTTGCAGATGACACCAAGCTAGGTGCGTGTGTCGATCTGCTCGAGGGTAGGAAGGCTCTGCAGGAGGATCTGGATAGGCTGCACCGATGGGCGGAGGTCAACTGTATGAAATTCAACAAGGCCAAGTGCCGGGTCCTGCACCTGGGGCGCAATAACCCCAAGCAGAACTACAGGCTGGGAGAGGAATGGTTGGAGAGCTGCCAGGCAGAGAAGGACCTGGGAGTGATGGTGGACAGTCGGCTGAATATGAGCCAGCAGTGTGCTCAGGTGGCCAAGAAGGCCAACGGCATCCTGGCTTGTATCAGAAACACTGTGACCAGCAGGGCTAGGGAGGTGATCGTCCCCCTGTACTCGGCTCTGGTGAGGCCGCACCTCGAGTACTGTGTTCAGTTTTGGGCCCCTCGCTACAAGAAGGACATCGAGGTGCTTGAGCGGGTCCAGAGAAGGGCGACGAAGCTGGTGAGGGGCCTGGAGAGCAAGTCCTATGAGGAGCGGCTGAAGGAGCTGGGCTTGTTCAGCCTAGAGAAGAGGAGGCTCAGGGGTGACCTTATTGCTCTGTATAAGTACATTAAAGGAGGCTGTAGTGAGGTGGGGGTTGGCCTGTTCTCCCATGTGCCTGGTGACAGGACGAGGGGGAATGGGCTAAAGTTACGCCAGGGGAGTTTTAGGTTAGATGTTAGGAAGAATTTCTTTACTGAAAGGGTTGTGAGGCACTGGAACGGGCTGCCCAGGGAGGTGGTGGAGTCACCATCCCTGGAAGTCTTCAAAAGACGTTTAGATGTAGAGCTTAGGGATATGGTTTAGTGGGGACTGTTAGTGTTAGGTTAGAGGTTGAACTCGATGATCTTGAGGTCTCTTCCAACCTAGAAATTCTGTGATTCTGTGATTCTGTGATTTTAATGATAACAGTTATTTTATTTAGAAATCATTAATGTGATTAAGCAAGCTCCCATTCTTCTATCCCTGGCTTCGTTACAATCTGTTCAGCCATCTTTCTGCTTTTATCATGAAACACCAGTCTGCTAACAAGCACTGTGAGACTTCCTGGGTAAGAATGAGAGACTTGGTTGCGAAGATGTTATTTTAATAAGAAAATACTCCTTTTGTATGCTCATTCTTTCCACGTTTGAGAGTTTCATGACATGAGGACTGGAAAAGACTAATTTATATAGAATAGGTGTAGAAACCCTAACATCAGCCAGAATTTAAAACTGAGATGAGAGGTTAGGAGGAAATTCTGCACTCAGAGGGTGGTGAGGCACTGGTAGAGGCTGCCCAGAGAAGCTGTGGCTGCCCCATTCCTGGAGGTGCTCAAGGCCAGGCAGGACGGGGCTTTGGGCAGCCTGTGGGGGTGGGCGGTGTCCCTGCCCATGGCAGGGGGCTGGGACTGGGTGGGCTTTGGGGTCCCTCCCAGCCCGAGCGCAGGCCGCGGCCCCGAGCCAGGCACTACAAGCCCCATGCTGCCGAGCGGCGGCGGGGCGCTGCGCGCACAGCCCGCTGGGGGCGGCGCCGTGCGCGGGGGCCGTCGCCAATGGCGGCCGGCGGAGGAGGGCGGGGGGGCGGCTGACGGGAGCCGCTGCCGCCGCCGCCGGTCGCGCCCATTCATCGCCTCGGCCTCGGCCTCGGCTTCGGCCCGCTGCGGGGCTCCGCGGCGCCATGGAGGCGCTGATCCCCGTCATCAACAAGCTGCAGGACGTCTTCAACACGGTGGGGGCCGACATCATCCAGCTGCCGCAGATCGTGGTGGTGGGCACGCAGGTGAGGCGGGGCCGGGCCGGGCAAAGTCGAGGCGGGCGTCCCCGCAGCCAACGCCGCCACCGCCGCCAAGGGCACGGCCGGGGACGCCCGGGGACAGCGGGGCCGCCTCTCGGGAGGCCTCCGGGCCCGGCCCCAAGAGGCTGGGGCTGCCCCCGGCCGGGCGCTGGGCGCCAAACGCCGCCGGTGGGGCTGCGACAGCCGCGAGGGGGCCGGGAAGGAGGCGTTAAACTCCGCTAAAACCCCAAAGTTAATGGGGCTGCGTGTTCCCGAGGGGTTGGCAGCCGGGGCTGGATGTCCCCGCTCCAGGGTTTCCCCTGGGACGAGCCCGGCGGGTGCAGCACGGGCACGGCGCTGGGGCCTGCGGGCGGCGTGCTCAGAGCCCGCCCGTGCAGCTGGCTGCAAGGCGCTCGGCTCCAGCACGGCTTTGCCAGCAGAAAGCAAAATGCGTTTGGTGACTTCATGCCCGTCGGTTCACAAAACACACCAACAGCACTTGCGCAGGGGCAGAGACTTTGTGCTGTTGTCTTATTTTAGGGGCTTGCTGCTTTTGTAGCTCGCAGGAGGCCTTCGCTTCATGAAAACATACGGTCTCTTTTACATTTGCAATCACACGAGTAAGAGTTTTCTATCTATTTTGGTTTTGTTAGTTTATTTCTGTAACAGAAAGGCGCAAAACAGAGATGCGGTATCTCTATATGCGAAGTTAATAGAAGTATTTGTTTCTCTTTCTGAAATATCTCAAAGTGGCATTTTATTTTTGCATTACCATCTTTTGTAAAAACTTTATCCTAGTTAACATTTCCAAAAAGCACATACAGTACACAATGAACATTAAGACTATGCTGACATGCATTTGATTTGAATAGGCTCCCCCCATCATATTAATACTGATGGGTAAACTCTTGGGGGAGTTTACCCATCAGTATTAATATCCCTTTGGCGCTATATGCTCATACAAACCCTTGAATAAGGTAAACTGACACTACATCTTTTTACAGAGCAAAGCAAAGGCCTTTATAGACTTGTGGTTTTACCTTGCTGGGCAGCTGAACTCCACCACAACCGCTCTCTCACTCCCCCTCCTCTGAAGAGATGCAGAGTACAGTGCTGTATGGGCTGCCGCAGGGAAAGTTAATTCCATCCCAGCCAGGCCCCGTACACGACTCCAGGAACATATATCTTTGGGAAATTGTACCTTGTTTTTGTTTGTCTTAGCCAGGGTTCAGGTGCTGTGGTCAGGCACTGGAACGGCCTGCCCAGGGAGGTGGTGGAGTCACCATCCCTGGCGGTGTTCAAAGAAAGGTTGGACGAGGTGCTAAGAGATGTGATTTAATAGCTTAGTGGGTAGTATTGGTGATGGGAGGATGGTTGGACTAGATGATCTTGTAGGTCCTTTCCAACCTACAGTATAGAATCTGTTTCTATGATTTTCTGTGATACTGTGTTCTTGAAAGATACAGTTGTCTTTATGGGTGTAGTAATTCTGCAGATATTTTGTGCAATTATTTTATATTTAAAATAAAATATTACTGTTTTATTAATTTGAATTTAGTTTATTGTAGAGCAGGTTTCTGGAGATGTCTCAAATATGACCTTAAAGCTGACAGTTTTGCTTCTGTCAGTTTGCTTCTACATGTATATATATTTTTTATTTTTTTTTTTAAATGTGCCATTTACAGTCTTGTTTCTGGAGTTATTTTTGGTTGTGCTATGCAACTGCAAGTTTTTTTCCCACAGTTGATTTCTTTATAGCCTACTGGCATATGCAGTCCTGACTTTTTTCTACTTTGTCTAGCATTCACAGGCAGCTTTAAATTTCGCACCTCCATTTGTCTTTGTGGAAAACAAATGCTATCACTTAAGATTTCTGTAGCTTTCTCGTTTTTCTTTTCTTGCATGACCTTCTGTGTATTCAGTGGGGAAAATGAAAATGTGGGGCTTTAATAACTTTGGTTGTTCATTTCTCTTACCTATATTCTGTGACTCTTTTCTACCCTTTAATTATGTTTAGTGCTATGTCTTCATTTCTCATTTATTTCAGCTTCTGTGCCCCAAAATTAATTCTTTCTCTTCTGGCGTTTGTAGAGTTAGAAACTGCTTATAATCCTTAATTTCTTTGAATGTTTTGTTTGTTACTACAGTGTCCTAGTTTTTCCTTTTTCTAGCCAGATTTTGGTGGTAATTACAAACTATTTCTCGGTTAGACATGTAGGTGGCCTCTCGCCCTTCTTCTGGCGGTGTTCCTGTGACCCAGTTATCTGAGAATTCCTTCGTGTTCTCCACCGAAATACTGCACGAGTCATTTCTGTACCCCAGTACGGAGACTGTTAAAAAAAATTGAAGACTGCTGCTGATAGAACTGGCAGGACACCCTCCTACTGCCAACTTTGTATGGCTATTTTAGTGCTTTTTGCCATGCCCAGATAGGGAAGTGCTGTTTTTTTTCCCCCTCATTCAGTGTTTCAGTTGCCTTTTCACCAACTGTGTTGTTGAAATGCAAAGCAGTGTCCAGGCTGGGAATACTACTACACAAACAATATTTGTGCAGTAGTACCCAGCCTTCTGATGCGTTTCATACAAATGCTTTGCTTTGTGGTCCATACCTGTAAAGGATTACAAGGTTGTATCAAAGTGCTTCAACCAGACACATTAACGCTCTAATAAAAGAAGGGAAGAAAAGTTTAGTTATGACCTCTTGTATGTTAAGGGCACGTAGGTATTATTATAGAAATGAAGTACCTATGGTACAGAAGTGGGTATCACTTTTAGAATAAAATAAATAATAAAAGACACAACAATAAACTCTGTGCCTAGAGATGTGTAGAAGTGGATTTCCTCCCCCCTTCCCCCCTTTTCTTTTTCCAAGTCATTAATTCTTGGAGTCTGTTTTGTGTTTTTAGAAGTCATTGACCTAGATCTGTACAAACTTGAGCTGTTAGGAGATCTCGTTTGCTACAAAACTAATACTGCCATTGTTAAAAAAGAAGAATTGCACTTTGTAGTGTTGGTTTTAATAGAGCCTTCATAGTGAAATTGATTTAGCAACCAACTGAAATTCACGAAGGGATTTTTAAATAACCTTTCAGGTGTCCGTGTATGTACTACTGTTACTCAGTCTTCAGCTAATGCTATTTTGGGGCTTCAAACCGGGAAGAGTAGTTTACAGCATTTAACACAGTTTGTTCTGTTGGATGCTACCATCTGAAGGAGCTGTTAGGCTCTGTGATCGGCTCGGAGATGAACGTTACATTTATTTCTTTTTTCACAGTTTGGAGTAAGTGTCCGTGCTCGATATTTCAACACTAAAGCAACTCTTGTTACAGAGGAAGGCTTCTTGATCTAACAACCTGAGCATTTGAATATGTACAAGTGCATATGCAGTTAGACCAAACAGTTAGGAGGATAATTTCCACATCAAGAAGCTGACAGCAATGGGAAGCTAATGTATGGTCCTGGGTAATGAGATAAGGAGAAGAATACACTGGATGCTTATCAAAGCATCTGTTTGTTAGCTCTGTGAGTTTAAAATTCAGATGCTCTACAGAGCTTCGTTGCTTTTTCCCTGGAGAAGTGGGCCTTTAAGCCTCTTGAGCTTTTCATCCACTGGTGCATCCTGCTTGTTGGTGGTGAAAAGCTGGTTTTAGGTGAAGGAAACTTCATCCTGTACCAAGCACCTCTCCTACTGAAGAAAGGCTGAGAGAGCTGGGGCTGTTCAGCCTAAAGAAGAGAAGGCTCAAGGGTGCCCTCATTGCAACTTTTTGGTACTTAAAGGGGGCTTATAAAGAAGATGGAGAGCCACTCCTAGCTCAAACAGATAATGACAGGACAGGGTGGAGTGGTTTTAAATTAATAGAGGGGAGATTTAGATGAAGATTAGGAAGAAATTCTTTACTGTGGGCGTGGTGAGGCACTGGTAGAGGCTGCCCAGAGAGGTTGTGTCTGCCCCATCTCTGGAGGTGCTCAAGGCCAGGCTGGACAGGGTTTGGGCAGCCTGTGCTGGTGGGAGGTGTCCCTGCCCATGGTAGGGGGGTGGGACTGGGTGGTCTTTAAGGTCCCTTCCAACCCAAACCATTGTGTAATAGCTCCATGCAAAGCTCAGGCCAGGAATGGCCTCTTTTTTTTTTTTTTTTTTTTTTTTCTTTTGTTCCAAGGGTCTTTCCTGGGATTTTGAGGCAGAGGTCTTTACTTCTGCCTTACCTTTGTGAACGGAGGTGTAACTAGAGCATAGCTGCAGTGCTGGCTGGGGAGAACTTGTTTTTTTGTTTTTCTCTCAGCTATTTTGCAAACTTCCTTTTTTTTTTTTTTTTGTGTGCCTCCTTGCCTCTTTTGTTGTCTTGATATCTATATCTGACATGTACCCTGTCTGGTTCTGGGCATAACTGTTTCCCATTTTGCCATTCCTTCCTCCTGTCAAATCTTGCCCTGGCTGTTCTGGTGTGTGTTTCAAATGAGCAGCAAAGTGAAGCTGACGTTAATTAGCTGTTTACTTATGCCAGGAATAGTATAAACTTTGCTGCTAAAGCTGAACAGTGCAAACAGCTGTTGGTGTTGGGCTGTTTCTTTTCTCTGGTGGGCCCTATGAGTCTCTGAGCAGCTCCTTTGTAGGTCTTGAAAGCTGCTTTGACTGGAGGGATGCTGACCTTTACGCTGCGTCCACCTGCAGGCTTTATACATAAATAAAATCACGGGTCTAAAAACACTGTGATCTCATTCTGATCTTAATCCCTCCACTTTTTAAATGTGAAAGTGGTATTAAGCATCATTTAAATGAAGGTATTGACTTGCAATTGTTTGCAAGCTCCCAGTTACTATGGAAGAAAGGATGCAATTGAAGAACGATCTGAACAAAGTGGTGTTTTTCCCCCAAGTTTTGTATGATTGCTGCCAGGTTTCTCTTCAGCTTGTGCTTGGTAACTGCATTTCTTTGAGAACCCCTATTTTAATTAAAAAGGATGTAACTTGTATCTTGCCCACAGGGAATAGTGCAAGGGAAACATGTTTTCAGGAAAACAAAGGCCAGGAGTGATTAAAGAAACAAGCCCTGGCAATGCCTTTCAGAATCTGGGCAGAAAAACCCTGTGTAGTTCTTGGAGAAGATTTCTTTATATAGTAGCCAGTAGGTTCACACTGCTTCTTATTTAAAGGTACAAATTGGCTTTGTTTTTGCTTTATTTTTTTGGGAAAAAAAAAAAAAGATAATACTGTAAATTCAGTCTGTACTGCTTATAAATGTGGATCTTTAAATATCGCAGTTCCCTGAAATAACATTCTCTCTAAATTTGGTGTTGGTTGTTTCCAATTAAATGCAGGTATTTTTGTCTCAGGCGAAGTATTGGAGGACATTGGGAATTGATGTATTGAGAAAAATGCAACTGCAAATCCTCTGTGGGTTTGTTGTTGTTTGACGTGTGTGTACAGCTAGATGTGGTGTAAATGCAGGGTTCCTGAACTATTTTGGCTGAGCTGTGTAAAGGAGACCTCAGTAAAAACACATTATCTTGTATTTCCCAATAATGGGATTGGAATTTGGCAAGCCACGTGTATATCTGTCTCTGAGAGAATAGTTTAGCCAGCCAGACTTTGGCAATTAATTCTTGTATGACAGAAATGGTGAGATTGCTGCCATTTTCTCTCAGACATCAAGGTAGATGCATTGCTTATCGTAAGAAAATCCTTCATGAGCTGTTATATCTCATGGGGAAACAAAACCTCTCCCGCTTCCCCATTCCTTGCTGTCATTCTCAAATGTTGGTGATGAAGAAGTCATGGGGACTACTGACCGTGCTGCCTTAATTCTGCTTTTCTTGTGCCTTCCTGCAGTCAATCTGCATTGTGTTGCAGGAGTTCTTTGCAGTTTTTTTCACCATTTGATTAGATAATGAAAAATGTATCAGTTGGTCCTATCAGAAGGACTGGGCTTCCTCAGGGTGGGCTGGCTTATTCACTGGGCTGGGTGGGGGGTGCTGTGAGTTGTGGGACAGTGAAGCTTGAATGATTTGGGGTGCCTTTAGGAACAACGTGTTTGGAGCACAAAGCGGTGGTCTGGCACGTAGTTGGGAAGACGAGCAGACAGATAAGGAGGGTGCTGTGGAGGAGACTCAAAACTGAGCGCTGAAGTAGAAGACTCACGTGGGAGGTCAGAGAGAGGACAAGCTCCTTTATGCTGCCTCCTTATGTGAGGATGGGACTAGGAAAGCCAAGGTTCAGCTAGAGCTGAAACTGGCAAGGAGCATCAAGGGCGACAAGAGCAGCTTTTTGTTGCATCAGCAGTGATAGAAGAAAGGAAAGAAACAAGGGAAGCACGGGCAGGCTGCTGATGCTGATGAGAATGTGTCTTGGTGTTCTGTGTGTAGGGAGCAAGCCCTCTAAAGCTAGGAGTGCTCATTATGTCACTGTGGGCTTAGAAATAGGATGAGAAAGCCAAGGAAGAGAGTGTCTAGGATAAATATGGCTGGCTCTTCATAGTGTTACTTGAAAATGTTCAATACAGAATCTTTTCTGTTTGGCCTGTCAACAGCCCTGAGGTGTCTCTGAAAGGAACAACTCCCGCTGCGGAGGCGGCTGGACAAAGTCATGCCCTGCTATCTGCCTCGTCTGAATTCCTGACAAGTGTGGCTGGCCAGGCAGCATGGTGCAAGGGGAGTTTCCTCATGAGAATTAACGTCATGGATGGGAGAAAATGTGTGCTGGTACTTCAGAAGTGCACACAACTGAAGTAAAGCAGGAGCAAGTAAATATGAAATAGAATGGGGAGGCAGAAGTGGGATCCATCAGGACCTGTAACAAGTAGGGATGCTGGCTTCCCAGGAGTGGATCACAGATCTGAGAGATCTCAGCTCTTCAATTTGTGAGCAAGTGCTCAGTCACTTCCCTGTTCTTGGCCTCCATCCTTGATCTAGATTAACCTGAAGATGATGTTGACAAGAATGAAGATGTAACTGTTCCGGAGGCAGTCAGATCGCTGATAAGACTTACATCATACGTACTGTGTATTCAAATAAAACATTTCTTAAGTTCCTCTGTGCAGCCTCCCTTCTTAGGTTTGTACTTCTAGGAAAAAAGTAGTTCTGCTACCCATTAACCTGGGTGAGACTGGTGGTTAACAGAGCAGAGCGTTACGCACTTGGCAGTGGAGGTTTGACACAATGGCTAAAAAAGCAACAGACAGCAAGGTGTTCCTGTATTTACCTTTATTTCTGGGTAATCTATATTAAGTTCTTCTAGTCATTATTAATTACAGATATTTCAAACTAGGATCAGGTCAGGGTCTGGAAGAAAGCCTGACTGATGTGCCACAAAAGACTGAAATGTGTTACTCTTTTTTTGGACTTGGTATTTCAGTCCTTGCTTCAAATAATGACAGTAGTTCCAGTGAGATGACAAAACGAGCACGATGCTGCTGTAAATTCATCCCTAAAAATTCTGTGGTACCCTTAGTCATAAGTTCTGGTCCCTGCCCACATCTATTGTATGAAGGGTTGGCTGAACTGAATTTGTGTTCTGAGCAGACCCCATATCCCTCGCTTCCTCCCACTGGCAGAGAAAGATCAGCCTGGTGTTTACTGCTTTTCTTGCCGGATAATTCTTGATAATGGATGTATATAGGATCCAGATTAAGGAGTGCATCATTAGGTACTGTATCATGTTCCAAGAGCAGATTGGTTTAATAAGGAAGCATAACGCAATTAGAAACAAATTTCCTGATGTGTGGAGTATTGCAATGTCTCATCTGATGTATGACTGTACATTTGTCAGCTATTAAACCTCTGCAGAGGATCCAGATAATTCGTTTTACATCTGAAAGTACCTGGGCTGTGGGAATGGTGTAGGACATCATGTTCTTTTTCCATGTGTAGTTTGTCGGAGAATCACAGAATGGGTTGGGCTGGAAAAGACCTTAAAGACCACCCAGTTTCACCCCCCTGCCATGGGCAGGGACACCTCCCACCAGCCCAGGCTGCCCAAGGCCCCACCCAGCCTGGCCTTGAGCACCTCCAGGGATGGGGCAGCCACAGCTTCTCTGGGCAACCTGTGCCAGGGCCTCACCATTCTCATAGGGAAGAATTCCTTATGTCTAACCTAAATCTCCCTTCCTTTAGTTTAAATCCATTCCCCTTTGCCCTATCACTGTGATCCCTGACCAGCAGTCCCTCCCCAGCTTTCCTGCCGACCCCTGTAGGCACTGTGAGGCTGCTGTAAGACTTCCATGGAGCCTTCCTTGGCTGCAAATGTGCACTTCCAGTTCACGTCCAGTTTTTAATCCACCAGTGTCTCTTAGGTCCTCTGCTGGGCTGCTCTCAATCCAGTCATTGCCCTTACCCAGGTATAGGACCTTGCATTTGGCCTTGCTGAGGTTCATGAGGTTTGCAGGAGCCCAACTCTCCAGCCTCGCCAGGTCCCCGTGGATGGCATGTTGTGTCAGTCTGTCGTGTCAGCTGCACCACTCAAGCATAGTGTTGTCCACAAACCTGCAAAGGGTGTGCTAGATCCCACTGCCTGTCATTAATAAACCACTAAACAGTACAGGTCCCAGTACAGACCCCTGAGGTACCAATCTCAGCTTCCTGCTATTTTGGTAACCAACTGGTGAGCAGTAGTGTGCAGTGACTTATCCCCATGGATTTTGGTTTTCTGTCTTGATGGGGTTTTTGGAAGAGTCTTGAGCTATTCATCATGCTCCTCTACTCAGATTATGTTCAAAAGCAACCACTTCATCCAGGTCTCACCTTCAGCCCTTTCTACCCATGTGAAAGCAATGTTGCTCAAGAGATGTTCAAAATATTTTTCATAAAGTAAAGCATGCTTTTTTCAGTGCAGCTGATGAGCTTTTATTGCATTTTATCGTCTTGAGCAGACATTCCACATATTTTAAGTTGCAAAGTTTATCAAAAAGTGACCTGTCTGTCACTCTGAAATTCACGTGTTTTCACAGTCTGTAACACTAGCTATACTTCTGAACTGTGCTACAACAAAACTCTGGCAGGGAGGCTTCCAGAACTACTTTGTGCTTTGGCCACATGGTTCTTCAGCTGCAGTTTGGTAAGATTGTAGTGCACAGTGTCCTCAGGTGCTGCCAGATTGTGCTGTATCCTTGATCTCTGCTGATCTATTTTTTTGCTTTTTAGAAAAATCGCTTAAGATGCCACTAAATGTTTGATACTTAAAATCAGTCTTGAGTATTCTTAATTTCATGTTATGGTAGGTTATATGCTCATTTTTTGATTTATTTAAAGTCTTGTACCTGCTCTTTCAGAACTGGTAAGCTGACCTGTGGTAGTATAGTGGCAATACATGTTCTAGCTGTCAAAAGCGTGCATTCATTTTTTTTTTTTCAGAGAATTGTTTGGAACTGTTCGTGTAGTAACAGCTCCTAACTGGCTGCAGTGATTGCCAGAACATGTTTTCTTGTGGCATGACTGTGTTGTCTTACACACTACAGAAAACTGGAAGAATTTACTACAGTCCTATTAAAAACAACAACAAATAACTCCACAAACCCTCAAAGTCTTATAGGTCAGACTTTCAAAGTGTTATGTTTAATTTTTACTTGTTTAATTTATCCTTAAGAAATAGAAATACATCCGTCACCATGGCTTTTAAGTATCAAAAGCAGGTTTAAACAGCTACTGACTTACAGCAGACGTGCCCCGTATTGCCCGTGTGATGTGATATCACTGTATTAGATGCACTGAGCCTGTCAGATGCTTTCTGTAGGACACTGTATATCAGAGGACAGACTAGACAACTGTTTCTGGGAGTGTTGAAAGCAAGCTAAAACTAAAATGTTAAAGCGTTTTTTTTTTTTATTTATTTATTCAAGAAAATAATGTAGCTGTATTCCAATTTTCAGAGCAGTGGAAAGAGTTCTGTGTTGGAAAGTCTTGTGGGGAGAGATCTGCTCCCACGAGGTACCGGCGTTGTCACCCGAAGACCCCTTATTCTGCAGCTGGTGCATGTTTCCCCAGAGGATGGTCGGAAAACAGCTGGAGATGAAAACGGTGAGTGAGATCCAAGAGCATGTTTTGCCTAGTAGGAAAGAGACTTTTAATCTTTCTTGTGCATTTTACTGAAAAATACTGTACTGTTAAAAGTTTACTTGGAAGAAACACAGCCATTGTTACAGCTGTTGTGTTCATACAGCAAAAGTCATGAAGCCAAAAGCTTTTGGATATTCAAAATACCTAATATTTCAAGCTTTTCTGTTTGTTCTTAGCAAGTACTTTTGAGCAAAGCAGACCAAAATAAGTATTTCAGTTATGATAATGATTATACAGAGCACTGAGAACGTGACTTTCCTGTGTGTGTGTTTATCCCCTTCCTCTTTTGCTGTTTAAATAAGACCTTTCCTCGAGAGGATGACTGTACATGACTTTGTGGAAAGAGGTGAAGAAATAAACTCTGGACAAAGCCGTGGAAAGAGAAATAAAAACAAAGAAACCTGCCATAGAAGCAAAAAGAATTTAATAGGCACATCCTGTAGCTTATAGATAGAATCTCTCAGTGCAGACAGTAAGCACATCAAGAACAATGTTTTAAGTATTGTTATGGTCTCTAGTTTGAAGCTTTTGTCTTCTGCAGTGTTTATTATCCTCTAGCAGATCATGAAATTCATCTCAGTTGTCCCTTGGGATTTTGAACGCATTCTGTACTAACTGCTGCTCTTGACCTTTTGAAAGACCACCAAGACCATATCCACCTTCTGAGCATCTTAGATTTTTTGATTTAGACAGTGAAGGTACACAGGCTTTTGATGGTGCGATAATCGCAGGGATAAAATTTTTAATTCTTATTGTGTTTAAATTGTTTGGAGTTTATTTCCAGAAATAGTAAGTGGAGGTAACAGAAGTTTTTTTTGTAGTACGTCTATTCATGTAATATTTATAGTCATTGGTTGCCGAAGAACAGTTCCTAATGTGCAGTTTAAAGGTTAATGCTCCAATTTTCAATATTGCCGCAAGCAGAAAACAATTTTGGTTCATAACAATTAGGAGCTTTTAGCATGCAGGACACAATATGCAGTCCAGGATGTGCTGGATTGTGAAGAGATCATAGGAAATTCAGGATTGAAATGATCTTAGGAGTCCAGTCTCCTGCTCAGAATAGGGCCATCTTTGAGCTCAAGACCAGGTTGCTCAGGGCTTTATTTAGTTTGGTCTTGAAAACCTTCCAAGACCAGTAACCCAGTCTTAACAAGTAACTCTTGGCTACTTTTTAAGAATGACAGATCTGATTTCTTTAAAAGTGGTTTCACCCTACTCGCATTGTACAGTGTATGATTTTTGGTAATTTTCAGAATGCAACTTTACAGGTATAAAAGGTAATTTTGAAATCCAAGTATTTGGAGTCAAGGCAGAGACTTTCTGCTGTAGGTTGCATTTGGACTGTGGATATGAATTTTAAATTTGAATGGATTAATGGTATTACTGCATTAGGATGTTGGCCTAAATTAATATTTATAAGGCCCATTTAGACATTTAAAGAAAAAAAATCAATATGTAAGATGTACGTGTTACGGTTTCTTCCTGATGTTCTTTGGAGAGAAATGTAGGCTTGCTAAGAACAGACAGACTTTTATGACTCCTACCAGTTACATTTGAAACGCCTCTATTCTCCCTCAAAATTCAGGCAAATCACAGTGGTTTTGTCACCGATATGGTTTAGCTTATGTACAGATTGTGGTTCATCTGAGAAGATTGGATCAAGTAGCTTGGAAAGAAAAAAGATGGCAACCTGTTATCCTGGCTCCACTGTCTGAGATTTTATAAGTCACTATGCTATTAGAGGCCATGCTTCTGTTTGTTTTGATTTGGGTGCTGAAGTAGGGCTTAAATGTGTTTTGGATTTCCCAAAGGGAAGTCTTGCAGGAAAAGATGTTGTTGGTAAGAAAGGTTTCTGCATTACAAACTGAATCTTGGACAAGAGAATGTCAGTCCTGGCATGTTGCTTCCTGAACGTGCTGGTAATGAACTGTGTGTGTGCACGGATACTTTTGTGCAACTGCCCTGTTGCTTTGTGATCCCTTGTGATTTTGTGACCTCAAGTTTAACTTCTGTCTGAGCATTTGCATCCAGAAAGCTTCCCCGATTTTAACACAAAGCACTTCGGATTGCTGTGGTATTTGTTTAAGCATGGGCGATTGCGTTATCTTTATGGCTACGAAGGAAGAAATTGTCTTTCTCAAATAGCTTTATTTTGATATCTTCTGATGCATGTCATCTGCCAAAGAACATTATTTCATCAATTTAGAGGGTGGTTTTTTATAACTTACTGTTTTCTGTTTGATTCTTTGGAGCACATTTAGAAAGATTGTTGAGAAAGAATTACAGCCAGATGTTTGAACTAACATCTGATTTTTTTTAACAAGAAACGTTAAAGGTCTTCCCTGCTGCACCTGAGCTCACTGACGAGCTGTGCGATGGTCACTGTAGCAGATCAAAGTCATTGGAAAAGACCAGAGAGATGAATTTTCCATTAAATATGAAGTGCTGTGTTTTCATCACATATTTCAAACTGATGCATATATTCTCCAGTGATGTGCATGGTTTGATGTGAAAGAAGCATACTCATATGCTTTTGCTATTTATTGTTAGCCTCTAGTGATTCAGCACATGGTGTGTTTGATGTGGTGATACCACACTGTGTGCTCTCTTATCGCATTACAGGAGAAGCAGTGTACAAGAAAGACCTGGGGCTGAACTCATTAATTATTTAATTGGTCCTGTAGCTTCTGGCAGCTTATCCATGTGTTAGGAAATGGCAGTGAGGAGGGAGCATATGGATAGCCAACCAGGAAATGTGTGTATATGTTTGTATAGGTTCTTTTTTTAATCCAAGATAGGAAGCTGAACGCTGGTCAAATTCTGAACAGGTAGAATTGGGAATTGGTATGGAACACAGAATAATTAATACACATCTGTTCCTTGCAAATTCAATGCTGTTTTATCAGCTTTTTGCTCTCTACTTCAAACATGAGTCTCCTGTCCCTAGCTCCTCAAAAGTGCAGACTGCTTCAGTGTACTTTTCCGTGTATAAATTATAAGTGTTATATAATCTTATAGAAAAATATATATAATAATAATGAGAATTAATTGATATTATTATATTTAGAAATATATAAGAGCTCTCACCCGAGAGAGCTTGTCCTCAAGGATGGAAGAAATGGTCCAACATGCAGAAGGAATTAGGAAAAGGTCACATGTATTTTCACAAGTGGATTTCTTTTCATTTAAAGAGAGACAGGAAAGGATGAGGTAATGGGGAAAAAATAGCATTCAAAGAGTAGACTGCTGGGTCTAAGAGCTGTGAAGGTAGGGGAAGTAGAAAGCTAGGAAAACAAGTAAGATTCTGCATGCTTTGCAGACTTAAAGTATTTGGGAAGTTCTTGTTGCCATGCTGCAAGAAAACTTCCATGGTGTTAGCCTTTTATGACTCTAGACACCTTCTTTGTGCTCTGATAGTGCCTGAAGAACATTTCTGCTGCTTATGAACTGAGAAGGGATACTGGAATAACTGAACTCAGTTAGCATTGTATAGTATCTGAACTTCTGAAGGAAACTTCTCAGTGTAGGGGATGACAAGTAATAATTTGTCAGAGGGCAGTTCTGAGAAAAGTATCATCAGCGTGTCCAGTTTTCCAGTATACTAACTAAACATTTCAGGTCTTGCTCCAGAATATGAACGACCACAGATTGCTGTTTTATTTGGATGATTGTGTTTTTGAAAGGCAGGATGTTTGCTCTTAATAGCTGCTGTTTTAATCATTTCTTTTCATCCTCTTGAAGACTTAATTTTGTAATGACTGTAATGTCATTTTTGTACACTTTTATCTAGCACTGAAGCTTGTATGTAATCACATGATTAATATACCTGAAAGTTTTACCTGGAATGATTACAAATAATAAAAAAAAATACCTAGGTGGGAGACTGGTTTACTAGTGAAGTTAGTGATATTAAAAAATGTTCAATGTGTCAGTCAGAAAGTATTGGGTTGTTGAATGTAGGTTAATTGAAATATTTTCTCCTTGCCCAGAGCATCCCTGCATTCTGTGTAATGATGCAAATCCTTCCTCCTTTCCTAAAAACTCCTTTGCATTAAAGTAGAGCTACTGTGATTTTTTTCCTCAAATGTTAAAAGGGGTGGGTGTCAATATAGACTTGAGAAGAGTGGGGCAAGAGTTTCCTGCTGTATAAAATTAAACTTCTGAGGAAAATTAAACTTGTATTTGCACCAAGTGAGATTTTCTGTATGTTTTGGGACATAGCATTTATTCCTTAAATCTTTTTTTCCCTATAAATACTAAGACTGAGTTTAAGACTAAGCTTTTTATCATGGGTTCCATCTTCTCTTGTGTTATATATAGCAAGGAAAACTTGTAGCTTGTTTAAAAAAAAAAAATTAAAAAAAAAAATTGGCCTTATTAGATCCATGGATGGTAACAAGGTAAGATGCAATGCCTCTTACTAAGCTGTGTCATTTTTGTATGTTTTTTAAAAAAGTTAATACATGATACTAAAGCAATTCTTTGTGCATAGAACCAAACCTAGCATCAGATTCCTATGCTGCCAAAAAAACAGTCTTTAAGACTAAGTTTGTTTTATTCTTGCCCTTCTGTAGTGTTTCACTGGCATCACAGAAAAATCGAGTTGTAAACTCATTAACACGTCAATAAAGAGTTTTCTTTATTTTTTTGTAACAGAGTTTATGTAAACATGAGAAACTTAAAGTTGAGAATGGTGGTTGTTAAGATTGTCTCTTCTTAAATCTGTCTCAGAGGTGCTCTGATTTTCTTAATCTGCATAAATTTATTTTCATCATTAAAATATGGATGCAAAACTCGTTTCTTTGCTGTGCAGTAATGTTACCTTCAGCGATACTAAAAATGTGCTTGACTTTTTCTAACTCTTGCCATGAATAAAAGATGAGAAACATTTTGCCAATGAAGTTCAGCCTTGCAGAAACTATGGGTGACATTTTCTTTGCTCAGAAAAAAGTATTGTAAGCTATTGGAATTAGATGAAGAACAACAGTAAAGTGATCATCAACTAAACTTTGTCATCTAGAATATCAATTAATAAGCAGCATTTCTCAGCGTTCTGTTTAGACCTTATTGCCGTGCATACTGTAAATGTTACACATTCTCATCAGTAGTAGACTAGCATGCACATCTGTCTGCATGCATCTGTGATCGTTGTAATAGTCTGGTGATGAAGGTTAATAAAATGCTATGTTAAATATGATGAAAAATTTTAAACATCATTCAATACTGTTTCTCTTTAACTGCAGACCCTGCTACATGGAAAAATCCAAGACACCTTACTAAAGGTTGCCTTTCTGCATTTGCTTTTTCTCCCTACACATAAAGTGCATGCTTATATACACTAACCACATGCATTTCATGCCACTTGTTGATTACACTTTTACTTTTCCACAATGGCTACTGTGTTGATTGATTATTTTGCCGAGTCTTGTGATTTAGCTGATTTTTAGCTTTCTGACCTTGTTGCATTAGAATGAGATGATTTTTGCTTTTCTGTGTCATTGCTGCTTCATAGAACTTTCTGCGCTTTTAATTCCCAAATCACTTGAAAGATCTCTAGTGATAAGTATCTTGAAATTCAACTTAAGTGGAAAAAAAATGTTTAGAATGGTGACTTAATTTCAGGTAAGCTGTGTGTTTGCCAAGTGGCCAGATTTCTTGTAGAGCAGACTGCTGCACTGAGGAGCAGAGGGAAGTGATGGCTAACTTAAAAATTTTGAAACAGAAGTTACTGGTGCTTGGAAACCCAGCTGTGAAAGTGCAAGTGTCTTGCAGCATACCTCAAACTGCTGCCTGCGCTACAAAGCAGGAGTTGACAAAACCTTCTTTGCTGTTTGTGGGGCTGCTCCTGAGTATCCCCCAAGTAATTTCAGACATCGTGATGACTGACAAGAGTTAAGATGTTTGGTCCATGACAGATTTGGGAAGAGACATGTTCTCCTAAGACTTCATTGTTATGTAGAATACTTACGTATTTTCTGTTTGTGCCTTTTTCTTTTTGGTTCTACAGGTTTTTCTAACTTTTTTCTTTCAGCTGTAATTTGATCTCATTTGCATGGTAAAAGAAAAGATGCTGAAAGCTGATGTATTTTTTTTCTTTTTATAAGCTATTGCTAATAATTATTTTGTTTTCTGTTGCAAGCTGATTTTTGAATGGATTAGACCTTTTCTGAAGAATGGTAGGACAGCTGATTAGCTCAGTTCGCAATTAAGAAGGTGGACATTGTGTAATGAGATAAATTACAAAGAATAATGAGATGCAGTGTTTAAATAAGCAGAATCATACATATTTGTGTACTGAGCTATTTAACATCTAACAGCAGAAAACAGACTAATTCTTCTTTTGCTGCTTGAAAAAAAAAATCACAGTCTAGTCTTCAATAAACAGGCTCTCAGAAAAATGTGATTGGAACGCTGCTTCCTCTTCCTCATGTACGAATTCTTTGTTTTCAGAGATAGATGCTGAAGAATGGGGTAAATTTCTTCACACCAAAAACAAGGTATGTTTGCTCTGGTGGTGGAGCAGCAGTGTCATAAATATGCTGTCCTATATATACTTAATTCTGTGTCACTTTCCCGTGTCTTTTCAGAAAGGAGATTATTCTACCTTCTATACTGTATGCAAGATTACTGAGGATTTTCTTTTTAAGAGTAACTTACAAAAATGTGTTACTTATCAATGGCTCTGAACGTGGGTCATTGATTCACCTGAGTTATTTATCTTAATCCCTTTTGTGTTGTTCTGTTGACTTTCTTCTTTTTCTTGTGCATGAGTGACATTAGAATGGAAACTGCAAAGGCAAGAAATTATACAGTCACAGGTCATTTTAATCCACTGAAGAACTGGCAATGTTAGAGATTAGAAAGCTATGAGAAGGAAAGAAGAGTCTAATATTTATCAAGGGAGAGGAGAAATAGGGCTTCTGTTTCTCCTCTCAGAGAAGAGAAGGGCTTCAAGTGAAAAATTAAGCATTAGCTCTCTTTGTTGTTAACAGTGTATCTCTATGTTGGCAGATATACTTTTTCAGTGTTTTATTATTTTAAACTGATTTCCTCATCTTCTAGTCAATGATGAAAATTAATGGAAACCTAAAGAGGAACGCAGAGGGAACATGTGGAAGTGTAGCTCTGTTCTAACTTATTTTGAATTGGTGGAAGGAGGACAAACTAGACAAGAGCGGAAAAAATTAAAACAATATACATGTTCTTTGTCCCCTCCCAGATGTGCAGGGGTTCAATCTCTGCGTTGTTATTAACCTCAAATGGTTGTAACTAAATCAGTGATAGAATTAAATGTTTGAAATTCTCTTTAGGTGGATGCTATTTTTTCTACCTTGTATGACACTGATGGCTAGTAGTAAGTGCTAATAACTGTCATCTGATGCTGCAACAGATTAAATGCCAAGATTACAAGTTCTCTTTTAGCACTGATGATTTCTGTTAGCATTAGCTTATGGGCTATTAGTCATTCTTACTTTTTTTTTTACCTTTGGCATACATAGTTACAGAAATTTTAATTGTCTCTTGCAGAAGGGAGCATCGTTTCACAATTAGGTCAGAGTATGCTTTCTTTGATGTTTAAATAATCTTCTTTTATACTTCAGATCTATACAGATTTTGATGAAATTCGTCAGGAAATAGAAAATGAAACAGAGAGGATTTCAGGAAATAATAAGGTAAATGCTGAACTGTCCATCGTCTTGCTGCTGAAACCTTTCTTAAGCAGTTCTAGCAGCTAGAAGTGAAAAGCATTGAACTATTGTCGTGAAAAATCATAGTCATGTTGCTTGCTGTCTCAAGGTTTTTCACTGTATTCATGAGATAAATGAATAAAGCTAAAAGGAAGTGCAGAGAATTGCTGTCACTTTACTTCAAAGCTTCCATAATAATCTTGTAAAAAATAATAAACTTAATCATACTTGTATTTTTTCCACATACATGGCTTCTTGTATGATTATAAAATCAAGTATTTTATTCTCAAATATCTATTATAATTACTGAAATAGAAAGCCTTTTATGCATTATTTTGCGAGGATAAAAGCAGTTGGTTCATAAATGTAGCTGGCTTTTTTTCTCACCAAGTAGGTAGGTGTAAGATGTATGATGGAAGAAAGCTGTTGGGTTTTTGTTTTGTTTGGTTGGCTGTTTTATATAAAACTTCAGCTGTTGGCTTTCTAAAGGGTCATTTACATAATCCAGTACAGTGATTAACGTTTCTTTATTATTATTTTATTTTTAGGGAATCAGTCCTGAACCTATTCATCTTAAAATTTTTTCATCCAATGTTGTAAATCTGACTCTTGTAGATTTACCAGGAATGACAAAGGTAACATATGAAATGCTTTTCTTCTGACTTGTTGTAAACACTGTTTTGAATCAAGGATCATATGCTTAGTCTTTGGCTTGGTTCTGTATTGTTAGATTAAACAGCTTTCAAGAACTAAAACATTCCTCCTTGGTTTAAGTATTTGGCGATATAAATTTGAGATGTCACCGTGTTCTGGTGTAGGATTTGAGTTTCTGGTGCTGTCTACTGTTAGAAGAGCTGGATTTACTTAAGCTCTTCCTCTTTCTATATGGAATTGAGTGATCAGAAACATTGCACAAGCAGCATATTCCTTTGAAGAGAAGAGAGAACTCTTTAAATTTCAGATCCGTTTCTGCAGATAGATGGGCAGTTGACAAGCTTGAAAATGTTTTTCCTATTGCTTCTGCAGAAGCTGCTATGCACGTTTTGCCTAAGAAATTGTATAAAGTGAGAATACATTAGGAGAGTTCAGATCCTGTTTGTTCAGGTTTTATACTGAATAACTTTCTGTGTCAAGGTGATCACGATGACTTCTTTACCTGCCTCTGCAGACATATGCACCCCACTCTACCTGTTCTGCAGGTGATTCTTGGATAGCGAGTCATCTTGACAACAGTATCAAAACAAATCATATGAGTTGATCCTCACTTTTATAAGAGTGTTTTTAGCTTTTATTTCTTTCAAGATTCTCCTTTTCTGTTTGCTTTGTGAAGGGGAAAAGAAGGGGCTGGAAACTGTGCTTACACTATGCAGAGTATAAATCTTTAATGAGTGGTCTAACACAGGAATAAACATACAATTTTGAGAAGTTCTACGCTGTTTTTTCTCTAGGTGCCTGTTGGTGATCAGCCTAAGGATATTGAACTTCAAATAAGAGAGCTAATACTTCAATTCATCAGCAACCCAAATTCAATTATTCTGGCAGTTACAGCAGCTAACACAGACATGGCCACTTCAGAAGCACTTAAAATTGCACGGGAGGTGGATCCAGATGGTAAGCAGAAAAAAAAACTAGATTCTGTAATACTTTAAAAAAAATAATTTCATTTAAATCCTAAAATAAAGCTGAAGTTTTTTTTTTTTTTTTTAAATAAATGTAACAAGGAAAGTAAAAGTTCCTGCATTTCCTAGAAAATATAATTATTGTATTTGCTTAAAGATTTTCTGCTGCAGTCCCTGCAACTCAGAAAATGCTGTGATGAATTAATATCTTAAGAGCTTTCTGGCTTACAAACAGGCCACAGAAATATTTTAATAGTCATAAGAGCAACTTCTGTTTTCAGAAGAACATTTTTTTTTTCATTACGGAATGTTCGAGGTTTTGAGATTTTTAGTAATTTAGTCTGTTAGGATGACTTCATGCTTTATTGTCCAATATTCTCTCTTTTATGAGAGAAAATGTCATCCTGCAGCTAATATTTAACTGTTTAGCCGTTTGTTTAGTGACTTTTAGTAAGAGTAAAAATAACATATACTGTAAGTATCCATTTTAATGTCCTGCATTTGTATGACAGATTCGACAATCTAAAAAGAGGATTATGATATTTTAGATTTACCTAATGACTTTGAAATAGATCTGCAGCTACTGGGTACCTGTTTCTTGTGTATGAGAGGTGCTGTTGGTACTATTTACTAATAAATGGCACTATGATTTGAAAGAAGATGAAAATGTATACTTTGAACATAGATATATTGAAATTAGGGTAAAACTTGATGTTGGTGTGCTTTACGCTCAGATTCTTCTTTCCTTAAACTTAGTATTTCTCACCTGATTTCAAACCCCAACTCTGCTTGGGCCTGTCTGTGTAAGTGTTTAAGGGTTGCACAGCCACATAGCTTTGAGGGAGAATCTTGGCTGCGTCTTCAGTCAGATTGTCTTCGTTCAATGCAGCTGACCCTTTCCTGTTAATTTATTCCCGTAAAAGTGATCAGCTGTGACTTTTGGATCACTTCCCAAAATTCTAATCTTAAAGGTCTGGAGTGGCAGCTTATGTTGCAAGAACTGTAAGCACAATGGTATGTAATGAGAATTTGGAGTGCTAAACTGGTTAGAATTTCAAACTTGCATTCATCTTAAAGTTTCAGGAGCCAAGTACCTTCTCATTTTTCTGAGTTACTGGATTATTTTTAGACTTGAAAAGCATGCTATGATTTAAAAGAAAAAGTTCTTGCCACTTTCATTTTCTGACCTAAGAGCCAAGGAAATACTAAGGCCCCAGACAAAACTTGTACATGTTAGCCTACCTGTTTAAACGTGCCATATTTACCTACGTAGTGAATTTGAGTCATTATTTCTTCCACAGTGACTAATAATGAAGTTTAAACATTCAGAAAACATCACGTATTTGACAAAAGTCTGTTTTGTTAGCAAAATAAATCCCATACTGCTTTTTCAGTCTCTTGGGATTCTGGCTATGTATTTGCACAGTGCTTGAAGTGGTCCTGTTACTTCCTCTGGCAGCTTCTTCAGTAGTAGTGGTGCTTCAAAAGTCGTTTGAAACATTGGCATTATATCTAGTTCTACACAGATCCTAGAAAATTGTTCAGTTTGCTCACACCTGCAAGTCCCTTGCCTGCCTTAGTCTTCTCTGCAAGTACTTAGCACCTCTGACCTCATGTACTATGCAAAAATATTTGTTGCAATTAGTGAAAATTTTGAACCACATAGAACCTAAAACATTTTCTTTAACCACATACATATGGGGAGCAATACCTGCCAAACCATGTTATATTTTATATACATACAGGGACTCCAGATAGACCAGTACTACACATTCTTGTGCTGGTCTTTGCTGGTTTGTCCTATTATACTTAATGCTTCATTCCTGAGGAACTTTTTGAATGATGGGCCTTAGCTACCTTGATCAAGACAAAACATCCCTTTGAGTGAGTTTTCCTTTTGGTAGGTCGAAGAACCCTTGCTGTTATCACAAAGCTGGATCTCATGGATGCTGGCACTGATGCTATGGATGTGCTTATGGGAAGAGTGATTCCAGTAAAACTTGGCATCATTGGAGTGGTGAACAGGTCTGTCTGGGCACATTTATATCATTTTTTAAAGACCGTTAATATGAAGTAATGCTTTGGGCTTATTTAACCATGAGCATGGGTTTAAGAATAAAGTGACCTGATGCTGAAATAAGCAAGCAAGCAACAAGCTCGTTGGTGACTTTTCAAAAATCTGTTCTTCCAGTCAATCAACTGCTGATTTAGAAAGGAATATGGACATTTCTTCTAAAAGAACTGTTGCATTACTTCTTTGCAGTACTGATTTTTAGTTTGAGGGATGTTTCTGATTAGCTGTTCACATTATTCCTGATATGGCACTAATAGATATTTCACACTAGTGCTAAGATCATGTTAAATGCATATGGCTGCTGTAGTTGTGCATGCTACCTTTTGCAGCAGCTAGGTCAAATCTCATGCAGTGTTGATAGTTTTGCTCAGTCTGCATATGTATGACAGCTATCTGTACCAATTTGATGTCTGCTCCAGCAAATAACCATTCTTTCTTTTATAAGGGAGAAGGGTTATGTGTGCAAAGCAAAATCTGTCTGTTCAGATCTTCTGTCAGGAAAAAAATAAGTGTGAATTGTTTTTCCTTTGCATCCGTTAACTACTGTGCAACTCTGCCTTTAAATTTCAGGAGTCAGTTGGATATTAACAATAAGAAGAGTGTAGCTGATTCTATCCGTGATGAGTATGGTTTTCTTCAAAAGAAGTATCCTTCCCTAGCTAATCGAAATGGAACTAAGTATCTTGCTAGAACACTGAACAGGTATTACATGTTACGTCTAAAAAAATAAAATAAATGCATTATTTTAAATGCACATTAAGATATAGATTGGTGTGTTAGAAATATGTATAACCATTTATTTTTATCTTTTTCTTTCGGTGCTGTACAGTGAAACAGCTCTGTTTCCAAATTCAATTTCTGCATTTACTGTAATTTCCCTGAGCAAATGTTTTCCTTTGATGATAATTTTCTGTCTCTCTTTTGATAGAGATGATAAAGCTGAAATTATTCCTTCCTTCTCATTAAGGCCTGTTTTCTATTTTTAGACTACTAATGCATCATATCAGGGATTGCTTGCCAGAACTGAAAACCAGAATCAATGTTTTAGCTGCTCAATACCAGTCTCTGCTAAACAGCTATGGGGAACCTGTTGAGGACAAAAGTGCCACTTTATTGCAGCTTATTACCAAATTTGCCACAGAATATTGTAATACTATTGAAGGAACAGCAAAATACATAGAGACTTCTGAGCTGTAAGTACTAAATGTTTTTCTAGAATATTGACTGACCCAGCAGCTCTTGCTGGTTTATATTGGCAACAGTAGTACATCAGAGCGTAACATAATCAAAAATGTTTGAATCCAATTAACTGTAAAAATGTTTGCAATGAAAGCTTTTTTCCTTGTTTTTAGTTGTTATTTTATTCTTTCAGATGTGGTGGAGCCAGAATCTGTTACATTTTTCATGAGACCTTTGGAAGAACCTTAGAATCTGTTGATCCTCTAGGTGGCCTTAACACAATTGATATTCTGACTGCCATTAGAAATGCTACTGTGAGTGTTGCTCTGTATTCTAAGTGTTGTTAGTGGTTTCAAAATAAAATTTTGTCAATTTGTGCTCCTTCAGGACTCTAAATTAGTAACAGCTGAAAGAGTTTATGCAAATAGGCTGAATCCTGCTTTTTCGCATTTGAAGTGAAAAATACAAAATCCAAATTTACAGCTATTATCAGATAGTTAATAAGTTTAAGGGGAATGCTTACTCATTTCTTTTGCTTGTAGGTTTAAATTAAGCTCCAGCCCAGTTTTGGCAACCTTATGGTGAAGCTATTATATATTACAGAAAGGGTGATGAAAAACTGCCTATGTATTTATTTTGCATTAAGAAATTCTGTGCTATCCATAAACACTTACCATGAGTCTATGGGCTAGGACATGTTCAGATATTTTCATTCTCTATTACTGGATTTTTTATTTCTTATTCTCTATTATGTGATTTTTTTTAATGGTTCAGTATTTACATGACTGATCGGGTTTTTGTGCGTATGGGGATTGGTATTGTAAGAATTAAAAGTTTACTTTTAATTCTTATGTCATTATATGGGACATTCACTCCTCAGAGCTTGACTTGAACATCAAGCAAGTCAGCTTTTGTATTGTGTTCTGCTGGGTACAGACAGTTGTGTTTCTGCATGGTCAGTAATTATTCAGATTTGGAATACATTAGGTACACTGCAGCAGCAATTTGTGTGCATGTTCTTATCCTTCTGTAAAAGTGATGCTTCACAGAAAAGCAATACATCTTACCAGTCACTAAATGTTGCATTACATCTTTGTGTTTCTAAAGCTCATTTAGGTTTGAAAAAAATCAGGTAAAAATACCCCGTGTATAGCTGAGCATTGGTCTGTAAGGTCATAAATTAAATTATCCCAAACATTAACATGGTGACACTTTATTACAAGTATATTTAACAGCAAACCCAGTTATCGTGCAGTGAGAATTGTATGTCCAGAACTGCTGGATATTTTTGTCTGATGAAAATTAAGAAGAGAATGTCTTTAAAATAAATTTCATGTAAACTTGGATCCACAAATCTGGAATATAATTGTTCATGGTTGTCAGACCACGTAGAAATGTTCAAGATTCTACAAGGGTGCTGGTTAATTATCATTGAACACAAATTTTGTCTTAAAGATATTTTGAGCTTCTTTAGGCTGTAAAGCTTTTATATTTCAGTATATGCTTTTAATATGTAATGCTCTTAAACTGTCAAGGCCTGTTATGAGTGTTCTTTTGGGTGTGAAAACTGTGGCCTTCTCTATTCAGGATTTCATCAAATACTACTACTTATAAATGCTTGTTGTTTCAGTATGCAACTTAGCAAAATTTACCCTTCTTTTGAACTAGGGTCCCCGTCCTGCCTTGTTTGTTCCTGAAGTTTCATTTGAATTGCTGGTTAAAAGGCAAATCAAACGTTTAGAAGAGCCTAGCTTGCGTTGTGTGGAGCTGGTTCATGAAGAAATGCAGAGGATTATCCAACATTGTAGTAATTACAGTACACAGGTAAAAGTGTGCTCAAATCTTGAATTATGTTTTCAATTACTGCTTGTCCCTCTCCCCAAAAATCTGTAAGTCTCATCTGTAATTTTTATTTTTTAGGAATTATTGAGGTTTCCTAAATTGCATGATGCCATAGTTGAAGTAGTAACTTGTCTTCTGCGTAGAAGACTTCCTGTCACGAATGAAATGGTAATTTGCCATCTACTATAATTTTGCTGGGAAAATTATGTTTTCTAGAGTTTTCCTTGATGCTTCTGTTTGCTGTGTAATGTGAGGAACCCAAATGATTAAAGGAGTCATAACTCATATTTGTTAAGTAGTTTCTTCTGTATTAGAAGATAATACATAAAAAAAAACAAAGGGATGGGGTGGAACCCTCTGCAACTTATTGTCTGCTGTGTTTGTTTTCCAAGATGATTTTACTAAAACTTGGATCTAAAGCCTCCTAGTCTTTTTGATGTAGGTAAATTTACCTTCCCTGTAACAGAAGCTGTTCGCTTACTGTAGTTAAAGATGCAATGATAGAAATTAAATTATAGTCCTTATTCTATTTGTTTCAAAGGTAAAGTTGAGATAAAATGTTGATTTTTACCTTTAATGCCTTTTAGTTAATGAGAGGTGAAAATTCAACTTTAATATTAAAATATATTTCTCCAAAGGTAGAAGTCTGCTTTAGGTTTGCTTACTGGGAAGGAAAGAAAGATACTGGCTCTGTACATGTATGTGTATGTTTAATGTGAAAAACAAACAAAATTTGTTTGTATGTGTGTATTATAGTGAGGCATCTCTCACTAGTTCAAGCATGGATGGCTTGTAACTGAAGGTTGACTATATAGCTTACATCATATGGAACACTCAAATGACCGAGTTTTGTTTACTTCTTGCTGGAGAGGGGTTAGCTTAATAAAGCTAACAAGTTAAATTGATATAACTTCAAAAGAGAGCTGAAGGTCTGAGTGTATTGCAATGAAAAATTAATTCCCTTGCTTTTTTCTGGGTCAGTACTTTACTACTGTCTTTGGGGCAGTAAAAATGGTCTTTTGCTATGGACAGTTAGACTGCATTTTAGGTCATTGTTCTTCACTGCCATTAGATCTTCTCACTGAATTTTTGACCTTTGCATGCCCTTTCATTGCAGGTTCATAATTTAGTGGCTATTGAATTAGCCTATATTAATACCAAACACCCAGATTTTGCTGATGCCTGTGGGTTAATGAATAACAACATCGAGGTAAGAAAATGCATCCTCTTAAAAATTTCTGTATGCTTAGCTGAAAAGTGGAGAAGTCGAAAGGATTTCTATGATCATGGCTTATATCTTTGTTAAATGTCTTTTGACTCTTCAGATGAAAGCCTAAAAAACTGCTTCATAGAAAGAAACTGACACATCTGTTCTTCTATCATACCTTCTGAAGTATAAAGATTTAATTATATTACAAATACGGTGTATGCTTATCTTGTGATCAGTTGATTTATTAGATTTATGTTGCATATTACATGCAGAACCAGTGGCCGATGTTTCAATTGAAACAATTCTGCCTGTATGTCTCCTGGAAGATAACATGGGCACCTGAGTGGTGGCTATTAAGTGAAATTTTGGAAGACAAACTTTAAAAAGATGGTTGTGAAATTCTCTTTAATGTCAAAGTAACTGCATCTTCTCTCTGACAGAATCTATCAATAGCTATAATGTTCCTCTCACTCATGAAATGATAATACAGGTATTGTTTCCTCTATTCAGCTTCTAATTTTTGCTTGCCTTTGGTATTGTTCCTGAATCTGTGTTCAGGAACTTCCGTCTCCCTAAAACAATTTTCTCCACCACTCTTCCATCAGGCTTTTACAGCTTCAGTAGCCTTTTCTCTTTTTCAAGTCCAGTTTTGATTGGTAAACTTTGTTGCTGACATCCTATGGAAACTGTTGTCCTACAACTGATCTGCTCAGCTCTTTCTCCAAGTCTGATTTTTGTTGCAGTATTTCATCCGTCTGACTAAGAGCTTGTTAATAATTCCTGTGTTCCCTTGCTGATTCAACACATTTTTTCATAGTAGCATTCTTTTTAAAATGTTTATGTTGTCATTTCTGCTTGTTGGTTCTAACTTCTTTTTTATAAATACATTTTGTTTTGACTGGTTACACAATCGAATTTGCCTTGATAGACTGACTGCTCTTGAATCTAGTTCAGGAACAATGTCTGCACAAACTGCTAGGAGTGCAAAAATTAAGATTTTGTGAAGTTAAATGTAAGATTATTGTATTATTGTGTGTTACCTACATTAGTTCTTTTCCAGTATCTTCCTGAACAGGACATTGAAATGTTTGAAGAAACAGAGCATGTAAAACATCTTATTTTTATTCAGTGGACAATCATTTCTTACTTTCAAGAAAAATCAGATCTTTGTCATGATTGTTTCAAATTGGTTTGTTATAAAGTGAATGTTTTCACCTGGGCAAATCAGAGTCAACCTTGCTGGATATGAAATCATATTCTTGTGGATTACTTTGAAGATTTAATGTTTAATGAAAGCTGTAGAGAATCTATGCGGAGCCCAACCTTTTAGCTTTGATCCTGTTATCTAAAGGCTCTAGTCTTGATTATAGAAAGTGTTGCAAAAAGTTTTGCAAAAAAATTTCTATTAAGAATTTACCTTTGGTCAAGTAATCAGAGTAGTGTCATGAAAATAATTGATGCTTTCATAGGATGTCTACATGGCACTGGATGAGATGTTATTAGCGTTTGTCTCTAAAATTTAAGTCATCTTTAAAATACGAGTCTTGGATGTGTGGTGATGTAGCGATACCTAATTGAAGTCTTGCTGGATTATTTTTAAAGGAACAAAGACGTAACAGGTTAGCCCGGGAATTGCCTTCTGCTGTGCCACGAGACAAGGTGAGTAAATGTTGATTTTAATATATTTATTTATTCTAAGTATAACATGTTCTGCTTTGATCTAATCTAAATGTTGGGAACTTTGATCTGCTGTCCTAGTGACAGTTTTGAGAGCTTTGAGAATACTGACTTTTGTCTTTGAATTTCATAAGATGGAAGTAGAATGTCATTTTCTTCTTCCAAAGATGCAGGTTTTACATTTGGGATTTCTGAAGACTTACCTATAAATTTACATTAGTATTACATGTATTACTTAGGTGGCATTTCAGGTGAGGCTCAAAATGCTTGCAGATGTTAAAGATGGATTCAGAACTTGCATGCTTAAATTTATGGCCGTGACACTGATTTCAAAAGATAAACAACTGATTTAAAATAATCAGTTTGCCAATGTAGCACTTTTTTTTTTTTTTTTTTTAAGCCACTCGACTGCAGTTTTAGTGCAGTCTTACTTTCTCTGGGAGAAAACAGAGGAGGAAGTTTTCAGTTGATCATCATAAAACAGCCATGTGGTCTGTTTCTGTTGCTTGGTTATCAAGCATCATGAAAATACTGCCTTGTGGGAATGAACAGACTGACAGCTAGGATTTTAGACGCTCATGTATTTAATACTCTGAAGTATTTAGAATTCAGATGTACAGAATATAGTTTAGACTCATCACAGGTTGTAATAGGAATGATTACAGCTGAGAAATCTTTTTGTTTCCTAGCTTAAAAAGTAAGATGAAGTCTCAGAGTGGACTTCAATATTAGTGCCTTTAGTTTATAAAAGTCAGCTGATGAATGAACCGAGAATGTAAGGCAGCTATCTAGAGAAGGCTTTCAGTGCTGTTTGATCCTTGATTTAATTGACTTTGTATTTAAGTCATCAGCGAAGGAGCTGCAAAATTGAAGTCCAGATAAGATGAAAGTCCTTTAACTGTCTTCAACATGCTCTTTTTTTTTTTTTTTTTTTTTTTAATCCTTATAGTACTGTGTTGCTTGCAAATCCAAAGTATTTTCTTTTCTGGATTTTTTTTTTTAAGACAAAAAGATATTCACAGATAAAAGTGCATACATGTGCTAGGTAGATTTGGTGGTTTTCAGTTGTTTTTTTTTTTCCCCTCCCTGCATTTTTTTTACCTTCTTTAGTCTACTAAAGCTCCAGGTGCATTGACACCTGCTTCCCAGGAGACTGTTACTGCTGCTTCTGCTGAGGCTGATGGCAAGGTCTGTCTTGATTTTTCTATAAGCACTGCATGCGAAATATGTTGTGGTGCACCTTCAGGTACTATGGAAAGCAGTCTGTAGGGCTCTGTCCCCAACCCACTGTGCCCTACCGGGTGTAGACTACTTGACATTTCATGACTGTAGTATGTGGGTAGAGATGTACTACTAGGTGGCAAAGCCGCTGCTTTCTGTTTTAACCCTTGGTTGTAATATGTTGTGGTGCAAAATTTGCCCGTTTGTAGTCAATTGCTTGTTTGGTGCAACAGTATTGTGATCAAAGTTTTTCAGCATGGTTGTTAAACTGCATGTTTTTAATGTGTTGACAGTTAAAGAAGGAGAACAGAAGATAAACTAAAAATGTGAGTTTCCTGCTTCCTGCAGGGAATCCTTACAGGCTTTGTTCCAACCTGAGCCCCCTTTTTGTCGTCTTACTTAATCGTTAATCCCTGGTTCACTTCTATTTGTGAAATGTGTTCTGCAGTGGCTTGTTACACTTCAGGCGTGCTGTCTGTCATGTTGAAATAACAGCTCAGTAGTGTAAAGACTTTATTGCTAATTGCTTTTACGTGAAGTCAGAGAAGATGGATAGTCACCAAACTGTGTAGCAGGAGTAACCAAGAGGACTCAGGCTTTTTGCTTCACTGCACACATGCATTCTGCCTCTGTGTAAAGCTGTCATTTCTGTCCTGAACAAAGGAGTTCAAGTTGGTATTGGAACTTTATTATGGTTTTGCCCAAAGATTTATTGGTTCTGATATGCTGCAAACATCTATAAGGAAATCTGGACCATTTTTGAGGATTCTGTTGTGACCACAAAAGTTGCAGGAAACTGCCAAATTTGGTTTAATTTGTTTCCTGTTATTAAGTAGTCAGTGAATCCTCAGTGCTCTGTTTGGTGTGAAAGACTGCAGCTTTGTTTCTGAAATTGCTTGGGAGATACAGCCCGCTCTGTAGTAACACTGAATGAAGGGAATTTTGCCACTTTGAATAGCTGTCTTACAATCAGAAAAAAAAGGAACAGAGCTGTCCTTATCAGTGGTTACCTCTTATTAGAAGAAGTTGATTTGAATTCTTGCAATATATTTGGTGCAATATCTCTGAACAGTTTTGTGCAATTTTAATAAGAAATAAACGCACGGTTTAGCTGGGTTTCCTCCTGACATACAGCCATTTTGCCATGTTTTTTTTCTTCACTCTCTTTAGACCCAGGGTCAGCCATGGTGGTGTTTTAATTGTAAACACAGTAGATAGTTTTAGCTTATTTCCTCCTGAAGGAAGACATAAGTAGTAGCACCTCAGAGCCTTTAATGACCAGCGCTGAGTTTACAGGGTTTGTTGGTTTGTTTTTTAAAGTACAGTAATAAGTAGAACAGCTGCAAGGTATATGGAAAGGTGCAAACCAAAAGTTAAGACTGTTCCACATCAAAATAAACTGTCTTTTTTATTTACTTATCTAACCTGTGGTGGGTACCATCTACTAATATTTCTTTTGTCCAGTGATTTCTAATGTGTAAGAGTTGGGTGTTATGTCCTCTTCTCAGAAGACCAGAGAGTCATTCTTTCCCTGGAATGGAAAGCTTTACTCCCAGAAACTGTGATCTTCACTTCCAGAAGATGAAGGTTTTTCTTCTTGATTTAGTACAGAAAAGCCTTCAGTAACTTGAGGTCTGGCAGCACAAATACATTCGTAGCATTGGTACCTGGAAACGTAAAAGTGTGTATTTTTTAGCTGTCATTGTAAGGAACTTTGGTTTCTGTACAATGAATTTATAAATAAATTCAAGAGCCCATCTAAGAACTGTAGTGATCTGTCAAATGTGCTTTCAGAATAGTCATGATAGTATAGGTCCAGGAATATGTGGTAAAAACTAATAGATGTAGGAAGACTTCCATATTTCAGAAGTGATCTGTAAACCTTTAAACAACTGGAGACCTTGTCTCTGTGAACAGTTTCATACCATTATTAGGAAGGATGCAAGTTTTAAAAGCTTTCACTTTATTGATACTCTTTTTTTCTGTTGTAAGCAGCAAAGCAGCAAACTGTTGCTGTAATACAAGTCTTTCAACTTAACATTATAGAGTTTTGATGGGATTTGTTTTGTGAAGTGTCAAGTTATTTCTTAAGAATTAGGAGACCAAAACAACTCTTAAGTTTACACCCATTAATATATTGCAAGTGTCCTTCTAATCAGTTTCCCAAAGGGAAAACAGAGGTGGGGAATGTGAAGAACAGGATGTAGGAAGAAAATTACATGTATGAAAATCTTGCTTCTTAGTTACGTATAGCTCCATAATAGAAGATTTGATCAGACACTGCTTTGCAGTTGCTAGTGTTTTAACTCTCCAATTTTTCTTTACTGTGTTGTTTGTGCAGGCTGCTCCTGCAGCAGGAGATGTGTCCCAGGAGTCTGGAACAGGCAACTGGAGAGGAATGCTTAAAACCTCAAAAGCGGAAGAGGCATCAGCAGAGGAAAAATCGAAACCAGCTGCAGCCCTTCCTGCTAGTCCTCAGAAAGGACATGCTGTAAACCTACTAGATGTGGTGAGTGTCATGAAAGACAGATACCTCCTCTTCATAATCTTCAGACTCAGGAAAGAAAATACATGAATTCCAGCTCTTGTGACTTGGATAGTCATATATATCTTCATAAATAGTTACCACTATAGGAACAGGGAGCTCTATCCCCTTTCTCCGCTCTTCCTGCTATGGAATCCTTCTTTTCTCCCCCTCTAGTTTCAGCCTATGATTTGGGATATGTGGCTTCCTTTCACAAATTCCTGTGTAAGTGAAATCCTGTCTAGATCACTCTTTCTACAGAAGTAAATTTCAGCTCATGTCTCAACTCAAATGCCTACTCATTTTTGCTAAAGTTGGCATTTTTGGTACTAGAGGAATCATTAAAAACAAAAGGCATTTAAAGTAAAAAGATGAAAATTCTTAGTTGTTGCACAGCTTAGTTCCTTTAGTGAGCTTTTACAAAAAAAAAAAAAGTGGTGGTGCCCTCTGACCTTTCAGTTTCAAAGATTGGGATGTTGATGTCTTTTGATGTTTATTTCTCAATAATAGGTTTATTGCAGGGCAGGTTACATGTATCAAATTATCAGACTAAAAGGGCAGTGGTTCCTTTTGATCTCCCACAGTTTGATGCTTATAAATGTATATAAATGAGCAGAATTTGTAACCTGATGTTTTTATTTTTATTTTTTTTACATAGCCTGTACCTGTTGCACGCAAACTTTCTGCCCGTGAGCAACGAGATTGTGAAGTGATTGAACGACTGATTAAATCTTACTTCCTTATTGTTAGAAAGAACATTCAGGACAGGTAAAACCAAACTGCCTATAAATATTTAAGCCATACAAATGTGGTATCTCAAGGGTCATATATATGTAACTGTGGCTTTTTAAAATCACATTTTTATTTTTTAAGCAGAGGGAAAATATGATTATTTTTTTTTAAAGAGGAAGCAGCAGTAAAACAACCTCTTACAGAGTTAAGAAGGCTGAAGTATTGTTTTCTTTAATGGTTTTAGTTCTGCATTATGTTGAGGTAAATTATTCAATTCCTTACTTAGGAGATAAGAGCTTTTCTGGAAGATGCTGCAATTTAGATGTATGTTTTGCAGCAAATAACTGGAATAAACTCTGGGGGCTATGTAACAATGGTAGAACTCTGTTTTGCTATCCTATTATTTCAAACAGGGAGGTTGAATAGGAACTGTGGCCAAGTTTTCTCATCTGTAGCTGTAAGGATGGAAATAACATAAGATGTGTTTCCACTGTATGCATTAGAACAACCTTACCTACTTGAGAAGTATTTTTAGGAGATATCTTTCAAAGATTGTACTCATGTCCATCCCACATTGTATTTGCAGAGCTTATTCAGGCTCTTACTTGGATGGTACTTGTCCCGACATGGCCTTGAACCTGAGTTTTGGGTTGCTTTTGCACATAGCCAGGTGACTCCCAAAATATTTTGGGCTTCTTTCTTCAGTTCTTCTTTTGGTAGAACTTGCAGTGTATTGGCTTGAAAAGAGGAAGTAAACTGAATTACTTCAGTATTGGTAGACCTCTACTGTCTCATCATGATTTACCAGAAGTCTTCCCTCAGCTGCCCAGTAAGGACCCTTAAAGCAGCAGAATGCAGTGGGAAAATTCCTAACCAAATCTGGGAGTATGACTCCAAGAACTCAGATGCGGTGATGGATCGAGGTTGATCTTGGATCTGGCTGTTTAGACTTGCATGCTCCCTGTCAAGTTAATGCTTGAATGATAATTGCAGCACTCTGAAAGTGCATTCTTTGGAGCGAAACTCTTGATATGCCCAGGATAATGATTTAGATTTAGGGCTGTAGGTACATGAGAAGAGTGATGGGGCCACTGCTAAATGAGTTAGTACTGACTGTGTCAACTCCCAAACCACACTAGTGGCAAAATACTGCTTAGTGTTATGCCAACAAGGTTGTTTAAACTAACATTTTTTATTTATCAGTTGGGAAGGACCACCAGTATTTTCGTTGTTGGTTGCTGCTATTCTGATGAAATAACCTGAGGTGCCGTAATTCAGTTTTTGTTCCTGTATTTACGTCTTCAGATTTTGGTACTCTGTTAGTATAATGATTTGAGTTTGTCAATGCTCAAGTAAATATTTCTGCCCGCTTTTTCAGAAGAGTAAAGCTACACACATCTTAAGTCCCCAAGAAAATCAGGTTCAGCTAGATTGAATACTTTAATAATTTTTTCAGGAACTTTAATGGTGGGGAAATCAGAGTTGAAACCATGGATTCTTTGGGGGTACAATAGCCTGACATAAAACTGAAAAATGTAGCTTTACAGATTCTGTGGTCTTTTTCTGAAAGATCGTTCTTGGTTCTCATTGGTTCCTGCTTGCCTCCACTCCAGTCAAATTGATTTTGCACACTTAAACTCCATTTTCAGTTGAAAATTGCCCTCATGCTGTCTCATGCTAGAGATGATATGGCCCACTGTTTGAACAGTGATCCTATTTTCAGTTTATCTGATAAGACTGGATGCTTCAGTCCTTTCCTTGCCTCCTCACTTACACATGAAGATTGATCCTAGAGTGAAATACTTAGATTTTATTTTTTTTTTCTGCCTAACACAGTAGAGATTTGAGTTCTGGTCTCTATTGAAAAAAAGTAATTTATTTTGAATGTATTCTTTACACCATATATATTTTCATGTCCTTTACAGTATTGCCATCCTATTTGAAGAGTCTCTTCAGCTCTTAAAATTGCACATGATACTTCATTTACTTGAGATTGAAAACTTCTTTTATGTTAGCAGTAGATTCCTGGTAGTCTGAGCCAAGGTTCTTTGTAGCTGCTTGCTCACATTATGCATTCTTAAATTTAGAGCAGACCTGGTTTTGATTAGCTTTCATGAAGCAACGATTTTTTTTTGTGCTTGCAGTGTGCCAAAGGCAGTGATGCATTTTCTGGTGAACCACGTGAAAGACACTCTTCAGAGTGAGTTGGTAGGCCAGCTGTATAAATCCTTGCTGTTGGATGACCTTCTGACGGAGTCTGAAGACATGGCACAGCGCAGGAAAGAGGCAGCTGATATGCTAAAGGTATTAAAAAAAAAAAAAAGATCAGGAGCTTATGAGAACAGCTGATGAAATTGAAACTATGTAAATGTGAGATTCTTGAAAAATTTGCTTTGCTTTTTTAAATTATACTACTTTTTTAAAAGTATGTCAGGGCATTTTTTCTCTCTGTTAGAGGAATTAGAAGCAATATGTGAGTAGAAATATTACACAGTATTACGTAGACCGAGTACTTGGGAAGAAGGAAGCTAAACTGTATTTCATGTTTAAAGCAGAAGCTCTCATATGGTATTCTTTTAACTTACACGTTTGTTTTTGATCACTTGCTCTTATTTAACTTCCCTCTATTGTGTTCAGTAGTGTGTTTTTTTGGGGGGGGAGGAGGAGAGGATTGATTACAGTGTTTCAAGTACTGTTCCCATCTTCTAATGCTTCACACACACTGCCTATGGGCCAGTGGTAGGTCTATCTCTAGGTAGGTCCCTGTGATATAAACAGTGGGAACATTGAGACTTGGTTATCATGACCACAGTGTACATCTGTGTGCATTTGGGATGTATCTGTTTTACAGAACTCTTCATTTTTTCACTGTTTCTTTGGATTGAACTGTATAGAAAACAATCCCTCTCACATGCCAGTGCAGCTTCAATAAAGAAATAGCAAAAGGTACTTCTCTCTTGCATACAGATTGTGCATTTGAGAGATCGCATACTCTGAGATACCAGTTGTCCAAGAACCCCTATATTAAGTTTAATCCTTGTTCCTATACAATAAACATATTTGATTGAGGGGAATTGTTTTTCAAACTGTAAACTTCACAGGACCAAACTTAATTTTGCATTTGTCCAGATCAGAGTTAATGTTGTTGCAGATTGTTACCACTCATTTTTTTAATGAAAGGGACAGGCTTTGATTTAAATTTTAACATCAGACTTTCTAGATTGCTGTTCCTTGCCTGTTTGAGAAATCCCTTCATAAACTGTCTTCTTCCCTTCAAATATCTTTTTTATCCCTTCATAACTCTGTCTTTTTTTGTCTTTCCGTGTGCAGGCCCTGCAGCGAGCCAGTCAAATCATTGCAGAGATACGGGAGACACATCTTTGGTGAAGACTGTACCAGCCACACTATTTATATGCATTGGAGGTTACATTGACTTGAAAATTGCTAGGCATGGTATACGGAATAGAATTTTTATTTATGAACTCTTATCTGTGTACTGCAACTGTGTAAATCTGCTCATGTAAAGACAGTTGGTTTGATTTGCAAACAGAAAAATATGCTGTATTTTGCAAAGTAAGTCATATTTAATCCACATAATAAATGGCTCTAAATGTTTCCTTACCAGCTTTCTGGTGCAAATTAAAGCAGACCAAGTCTTACTGTCTCAATGACAGGCTCATTTGAACTTGGGGAAAAAACATTAAAGTTCCAGTGCCTGACTTGCTGAACAGGTTGCCTGTGGTTAAGATGGACAGTGTAGTCTTGTGGCATAGTTTTAAGCTGCTTTTACAGTAGAGGTTTAAATACTGTGAAGAGAAGAGAGCACCATGTATTTTCTTTCATGAATATATTGCATGCACTATGGCAGATGGAGGTGTCAATTTTATAGCACAGTAGAGATGTCTACCGTATCGCTACGTATGTGTGTCCCCATTTTTTTCTCAAATGTTGAAACTGCAGACAAAATTTTGATCTTCATTTAATGGAGTATCATGTTGGATGAATTAGCCTGGAGCTTGTGAACAAGTAACAGCCTACTACTAAAAAGTGGGTGCAAAGTTGTCGATGTGCACTGGAGCTTGTGTATAAATGTTGGGGTTTAAAATCAGGTACAAGACCACCTTCCCCTTCCTCCCCGCCCCGGGACCAAGCCCCTGGACCATCCAATAGTAAATTTGTTCTGGCAGAGCTGAAAAAAAATAAAAATGGATTTCAAAACTGTTACGGGATAGTGTTTCTTTCAAAAACAGATTAAGTTGGCCAGGGAGAAGGGGATCCCCACAACTGTTTCCAGACTTTAGAAGGTATGACAGCATGAAAGGAAGTCTGTAGGATTGGAATATTTATACTAGAGATTTCACTTGCTTTTGAAGAAATTTTACTGTGCTATAAGTAGCTTTTTTATTTTTTTGAGGACAATCAAATTAGGAAGTAAGTTGAAGTTAAGTTGATGAGTTATTTTCTTCTGATTGTAATTCATACAGATAAATATTGTTCTCACTAACCTTTAAAGAGTAAGCATTTTAATTTTTATGAATAAAAATTTATTTAAATTCCAGCCAGCACACTTGCATGTACTTTTCAAACAGATTTACTTTTTTTGTATGAAGTTAAAAAATGTGTACTGTGGTATTGCTGATATTTTATCTTTAACACAACTTGCATGTGAAAAATAAGACACTGTTGTTAACAGCCATGGCTTGCTCTTAGTATATCGGGCCAGTACCCTGAGGTTTTTATTCCCATCTTCAGTTCCTTTTCCCATTGCACCAGTTAACAGAAGTGGAATTCCTTTTCTAAATGCTAAAGATTGAAAATTCAAAACCAGTTAACACCTCCATTTCCAGCAAGGTCTGTTTTAGATTTATTTTTCACATGGTAGTCTTCAGTTTGGTACCAATATAAACCCAAGGAGTTAAGTCTTACACGCACTTTTTTGTATAGTTATTTTATGCATTACTGAAATTCATGCAGGACATGGAAATATATTCTGTATTTTTAAGCGGCCTAAAAAGTCAAGATGTATGCATTAGATGTAATAAATACAAAGGAAGTAATTCTAACTTCTCACTTTTTATCCGGAGATGGTACTTCTCAGATTTAAGAAATGTGACTGTAGTGAAGTGCAAGCCACTTTTCAAATCAATTTTGGTGAATAGCGAGAATATTTTGTCAAAAGCATTGCATTTCTAGTTTGAATTCACCCGACATCTCTTTCCCTTGCACTTTTGACATCTAAGTAATATGTTTTCAGCAAAGTAGAACTGTCCTTAAGTGAACTGCTACTAAGCTTGAACTCCCAAATGTCAGTCAACAGTCTGTTGGAAGGAGACGTTCTTACTTGCAAAGTTTTGAAATACTACAATAAAGCAAATGAGTTCCGTTTATTTACAACATTCTTGCAAGTGATAACTGGCTCTGTAATGTCATGTGAGATTTGTTTTTTGAAATGTTTGTTTTGCAAATTTTCAAGTGAGTTGAGTGCCAAAAAATGAAGATGATTTGTCATGCTTAATGCAAATCTTTAAAAATCCATGCTGTAACAGTCCTGTTATTAAATAAACAGATGATATACAAAAATATATTATCCCAGAAATAACTTTTGAACTGACTTTTAGGTCAGGTGGCAGGACTATATGCTCTTACAAGTTTCTAGAATAACTATACTTGTACAGCCTTACATATGTTTGCATTTGTCCTGCAATTTAATATTTTCAGTTCTTGTAGTAGTTGCAGAAGTTACAGTGTAGACAGGCTGCTGATGGCAATTGTTTTTTAAACAACATGTCAAAGTGCTACTGTTGTTGCTACCCTTAGTAGAAGTAACAGAGGAATTGGTAAAATGTCTAGTAGAGTAGCAACTGAAAAATTCTCACTAGATCAGACTGATTGCTTACAGATGTCTTCTAGTCAACCTTATTTAATTTAAACCCCAAATATTTTTGTCATCAATGAACAACTTTCAAGCTAACTCAAAAGACAACTTACTATCCAGTGAAACAGTCATGGGGGAAAATAACCTCTGAAGCTAAGTTTAGACTACTAAATGTTTGACATTGATACCTGACATATGTGTGGTACTACTGTAAATAAAACACAGTATCTGTGTGTGATCAGTTTGTCAATAAATTACTTGTTTTTTTTTTTTTCATAGTCAAATTTCACTTAGTGTGTAAGGGGAGTGTCTGTGTGCTTCAAATTGTATTCTGAAGTAGAACTTGCCTTTGAGTCCTGCTTTATGGAGGGATGATGGCTTTGAGAGATGCCAGATTGGATATATTGCAAGCTCATGTCCCTGCTTTATGGAATGACAGCAGGGGAAACAATTTGCCAATACGCTGTGCTCCTGTTCCTAACTTGCACTGAATTATCTTGAGTAATATTTGTTTTTTTGTTTGTTTGTTTGTTTTTACTGTTAAATCTGTTAGTCTGAGAGCAGAGCAGACTGCTAACTGGTGTTTTCTGTAGATAGTGAAGTTCTCAAATGCATGTTTGTTTGTTTGTTTTTTTAAAAAATTTGTGTTCTTTGAGGTGAGTTAGGTGACCTTTCCTTTAAAGTCTAAAAGAGAAACAGGCCAACTGAACATTGATTTATGCCCAAACAGCCACCCCCTTTAAATTAGTGGTGTTTCTATGTTCAGATAGCTCCTTTTTTAGTGTATTTGCTGCATGTCTTTTCACCTTTCACCATACCTCTTCACTGTGACAGCTTTACTAAGTTAAGCACTTCTTGAAAGCAGTCACATTGTTGCTACCTGCCACAATAGTGTTAATACTCAAGTCTAAGAAAGAATACTAGTTTTTCCAGTCATCCTTGATTCTTGACCTACCCATTCTAATATTCAGATGCAACACCCTGTACAGGCTGTCCATGAGAAGTAGTGGTTGCATCCAGTTGTGGCTTTGGAAAGTCAGGGAAAGGTTCAGATTGGTAGCAGTTGGTCAGAAAGAAACACAGAATAAATTGCTTGGAGTTGATGGATCTCATTAAAAACCTTGTACACAAAGAATTTAATTCTTTTTCAACTGTGTATTTGTAAAAACAAATAAAATCCTTTTAATATGTGATCAAAGTGGGTGCTAATGCTTTTAAAAAAAAACAAACTTGAAATCAGAGGATACTTGTGGATCAACACCATGTGAAAATGAAGGGGAAAAAGGCAGGTGAGGTCAGATACAACAAGTATGACTTACTCTACTCCTAGAAGCGTATTTCCTGCAAACAGAAAGTAGCTGTCAAATCTAATCTGTTGTATTACTCTGGAGGTTAACAAGGGTGTTACTGCTGTATTTTGTTCTCAGGTGCACGTTTTTGTATTGCTGTAATGCTTCTGCCATTTGGGGAAAAAGGTAAACTCTAACAAAAATGAATTGGATGATCTTTTAGGACATTTTAGCTCTGATCATTACTGTAACATAAGGCAAAATGACAAGCAAAACAAACTCGTCTTGAGAGCTGCCAAGGTACGTAGAGATTTTTTTAAAGATAGGAATAAATAACTACTTTTTTGTCTTATATAGCTATAGTATATATTGCTATATAATTATACATGATGTATAATTATTCTAATATTTTGTTATATAAAGAAATATAGTAAATTCCTAATGCATAGGATAGAGATACCTCATTATCAGGAAGGTAAGCAGAATCTAGAGACTGGAGTTAGCACTATTAACTCCATGGACTGAACTGAAGTACTACCCTATTACAGTTTAATCTGGAAAAAAAAACAACAAAACAAATACAAGCAGCAAACCATTGTAACTTATTGAAATCTCAATTGATAATGCAGACAAAACCACTGTCAGTTGATTAGAGTAAAAATGAAAAATAATGGATAGAACATCTGGATTCTTGAGAATGAAGAATTAGAATTCTCTTTAAAATTCTTTTAAAGTTATTTCCCTATTCTGGTACGTTAGGTAGTTTAAACCAGCTGCAATGCTATGACCTATTTCAACAACATAAGAGCTGATGCTGCAGTACCACATTCAGGTAGCTGAGACTAAGGCCTCTCCTGCTGTGGCTGTGAAACTGTATTGTCATAGTTTTACAGACTAGGAAATCACTGTTTCACCTAAGAGTAAGGATTACTCTAGTCCTTGCAAACAGCACTGCAATTGATGCCCTGCATGAATACCTTATAAGACTGAGGCTTTCACACGTATTTGTACTATGGTAGGGGATGTCCCTTTAAAAAGAAACAAACTCAAGCCAGCCTGCTACAACACTATGATCTAGCAGCTCAGTTAACTAGTTCAAAGTTATTCAAATATGGCTATGTACTGTAGATATTTTGCGTAACCACGTGTGGTTTTATTTTGTTGTTGATCTGGTTGTGTCACCTGTATTCTGTAAATGATCCTGTCCCCATCATGGGAAAGTCTGTATTTAGTAAGGCACTGTATTGATTTCAGGTGTGTAGTGACTAGTAATGAAGGGGTGTTTGAGTTGTTTTTTTTTTTTTCAGAGCAATGAAATAAAGCAACGCTGCCTTTAAATGTAGATGGTAGCGTTCCACCAACTCTCTGAAGTACGTTCTCACTTTCATGCTGTCCTTAAAAGGCAATGAGGATGCTACAATCCCAAATGTTGGCTAGGCCGTAAGTAGTAGGGTCACTTTTTTGTTCTTTAATCAAGACGTACTGTGTTTGCATGTTGCTGTCTGAAGGGTCTGATTTGTCTCTCATTTCAAGAAGTGAATATTCTTCTTTACCACATGAAGGCTGGAAAGCTTGTACGCAGTATGCCCCAAACATAACCAATAAGAAGCTTACATATCAGGACTTAACCATTCCACTTATTTATTATGAATTTTCTGCAACTTGTTTTAAACCAAACCTGTCCAGAAAAACAAACAAACAAACCAACAAACAAAAAGAAACAACTATTGTAGGTTGTTTGTTCTTACCCACTTATCCAGGTTTTCTATGTTAGGATGAAATCAGAAGTTGCCAGCAGCATACATCCTCTGTTAGAAGTAAAGAATGCTTTGCTCATCTTGCTGTGAATTAGGCTGTAGAGTATCTTGTCACTGTTCCCCCTCCCTCCTGCAAGGCAGTTGGTTGTTAAAGTAGGGCAAGAGCCTACTATCCATCTCTGGAATTAATCTTTGTCTTCTTGTTCATATTTTCTCATGAATGGTACTTTGAGTAAGGCAGAACATCTAAAAATCTCTGTTAGAATAACATCTATGCAAAATAAAAAAAAAAAATTAAGAGTTGCATATGACAACATTCCAGTTCTGTGTTTTAGTTGCACCTGTTCTCCATGGCAATTCCAACTGTTCCTTTTGCATGTTTTAGATAGTTCTGTATCTTATTTTGTAGTGGAAAGAGCCATGTCACACAAGTCTAGCTACTCTTCACAGGTTAGCAGCTGATACTGATAGCCACTGCATTAACTACAGAAGTTGTGCATTAGGGAAAAAAGGAAAAGCCCAGCTGTAATAAATAGTAATACTTAACTTCAGTGGAGTCCAAAGATCCAAATGTAGGTACAACTGCCATAATGTAGTGTGTGCAGTTTTTCAGGCTATTTGTGATTTGTGGTCTACACGAAGCGTGGCTTATCTGAAGTAATCAGATGTTACCAGATTTTTCCTATCTGCTGTACTATTTCTATAACTTTCTGATTCAGTAATTCACTGTCAGAAACAAAAACATGAAATCATACATGTTTAGAATCTCAGCTTCCTTTATTTGAACCTTGTTGGTGTATGTTGGTATCAGGCAGTTTGTGAGCTGCATAGTAATGCATAATATAGAAACATCTTCAAGTCCATCTTCAACAGAGTATGCTCTGAGAAAATTCAGAAAAAAAACAAGCAGTAGAGAAACACCGTTGTCACAACTGCAGCCATTTTATAATGTAGTAATTTTTCTTTCCAACCCTAAGCAATGATACTCCATTCTTGAGAATATGCTGTCCAAGAATAAGAACAGTCTCAGGATTGGTTACTCTAATCCCATTTACTGACACTCCACCATCTGTAATTTTCTGGTACCTTAAAACAAAACAAAACAAAACAAAACAAAACAAAACAAACAGTTTGTAATTGCAAGAGAAAGCTATTGATTGCTGCTAAGGATTGAAAGATTAGTTAAGAGCTATTTCATAAGTTTTTATTGGTGTGTTTATATCAGAATAAATTTTAAATCTTAAGCAGGTTAAATTTATTTCAGGTCAAGAGTAACTGACATCAACCTTAGCCTCCAGAATTCCAACCCTTTCTGAGAGGGATAAGAAAACTTGCACTGTTGCTAGCTAGCTCTTTTCACCAGCTGTAGATTTTTTTTTTAAGCACGGTACATGACACTGCATTATCCCTACACTTTCTCTTCAAAGTGTAGTAAGGCATCCTGTCCCACTCTTATTTAGAAGTGGTATGTAGATAGCTAACATGTTACTACCCGAGTTGGTTGTTCTGACCTTTCATTTAACATCTGCAAAAGCACACTACTTCAAACCACTTTAGTGAGGTATTACTGAAGAGTGCAGGTGATAACATACCCACTAGGTCCATCCTGAATGGCATTTGCTTTGCGACACAGGTCGAGCACACTCATTCCTGGTTCAAGTACCAATTCAGCTGAAGGAGCTTGTTTAAAAAGTTCCTGTAACTCTTGGTCAGACATAGCTTCCAATGCTTCCACGCTGCTGTAATAAAGGGCTCTAGTGCACCTGTGAGAACAAAGATCATTCAAAATAGAACTCGTCTCATCTTTGCACAAAGTACAGTTAAATTAAGCATATTCCCCTCCCCAACATCATCTGAGGGTCCACAGAAGTACGTAAGAGTACTTCCCTTGCTGCTCTGATTTTTTTTTTGAACCCACTCTCCTGCAATTTTGTATCATTATTGTACCTTCAAGTCTACAGCATTACATTTTTCTCTTAATAGCTGAGCAACAATTCACTTCATGAAAATAGTTCCTGAAAAGCCTTGGATAATTACCATTGAATAAATCTGAAAGAAAACTGCTTGACAAATCAAACTTCACCTCTTAGCAGACTCCAGCCCCTCTGTACCATGAACAAGCTTTGTTACTTCTGCAGCAAGCCGTTTCTGAGGGCCCCATTTTTCAGGTTCTTTAGCGTGCATTTCCATGATGTGGGCAATCTCCTCAAGAGGAAGGAAGGTGAAGAGTTTCAGGTATCTATGAGCAGGCAAAAAGTTACTTTGTCTACATAAGCATCACTGTGGATTTCCTGTCTTTGTCATTCAAACTTCATTAGCAGCACTAATATGATTCTCTCTTTAAGAAATCCATATTACAGGTATTCTGTCCCTTTAGATAACTCATTGTTTTTGCCCACACACTTCCAGCTTACAAAGATAACTCATTTAATGTTTTGCTAGTCAGAAATAACATGCAAAACACTTTTATAAAGCTTGTTTCACAATCAAGAATTTGCTTTTCTAGTGGAGTAAGTACTTTAAAGGATTTATTGCAATCACATACAGTTCTACTATATATTTTTAGTAGTTACATGATATGCAAATGCAAAATACCACATGCTATGCTAGTCATGGGGCAGAAGCATACTGTGTACTGATGAATGAGTCTCTCAACAGGAAGATTATTTAGGATAATCAATGATTTAAAGGTGCGTATCCCAGGCATACCATTTACAACAAGGCCTGTTTTAATGTGCTCTCAGGTACTGTGAAATGCAGTGTACTAATAAAAGTACCCTTACTATTACAAAGTCTGAAAGCAGGAAACGTTTTTAAGTACCCACGTATTCCTCTTTGCAGTCTGAAAAGTGCAGTGGATGCAGAGCATCTATTTGAAATCAAGGAATGAACCCCTGAGAGAGGTAACTGCAGGTCATGGCACAAAAGTGAAGACATATCTGAGGTTTATGAAGACTCAGATTTGACATTGATATTAGTATTTAAAGAAAAACAGATCTGAAAATTAACATGATGCCTTGAGTAAAGCTATCAGCCTTCTCAGTGGCATTCTAGCGTGGAACTTGGCCATCCATGAAGCCTGACAGACAGTATTTCTCATGTTTTTGCTAAGCTTTCACATTTTCCTAGTATGATTTTAATATTTTTACACTGTTCAGTAAGAATATGAGTTGTGTGGTTGACTTGGATTCAGACTCAGCAAAATGAACACAAGACCGTGCTTTGGATTTGGAACTGCTTTACCCTGAGTAATGATTATTTAGAATTTCGTCTTTGTGTGTGCTACAATTTTAAGTAGCTACAGTAGGGCATCCTTCAATCCACTTGCCATTATAGCTGTAAGCTGAACTCCTTGCTTCCATGTCCCAATATGGAAGATGAACAGCTCATTTCAGTAACTCCCTCATACATTAAGAGTCAAAATTATGCCAATTGTTCCTATCTCCAATTCTGAAAAAAAAATCCACTAAAGTTTCTTTCCATGCAAGATATATAAGTAGAATATCAAACAGGCTTAAGGTTTCAACATGTTAGTACTTTTGGTCATTTATGTAACAAGCACTTCTCCCATTATCTAGACTTTTAAGATTAATACTTGGTTGCATGAGTTATTATCTATTTATATCAATGTACAGTATGTTTGTCCAAAGGTGAGCCAAATCACATGAGATGTTTTTACTGTTACAGTATTAAACTATACCTGAGGGTGCTGATTACTGCTAGGTTTGAGGAGGTGCAAGCAATAAGTAATTTGAACAGGTATGTGAATTTTGTTTTTTCTGTTTTGCTTCTCAGCCTTAGTTTTTACTTTAGATAATGACTAAAATTGAATCCTGAAAACCTCTACCTTGTAAATACATTTATTTATACACCTACAATGAGCTTAAAACAGTATCCTTTTCTCCCCTTTTAACTTGTGCTAGAACTACTGAAGTATAACTTTCTTAGGTGTGTTTTTATCTAGACCAATGGTCTCAAAGTGCGACTATGCAAGATGATCGCCTGAGGTGTAAAAAGAAAATACTAGAAGTTCAACAGTGCATGTGTGTATTTATGTATATATATTTAAAATCTCCAAATCCATATATACGCATGCACTGGGAGCGCATGCTCAAATTTATTTATTATTGATGGGGTGCCTGTCCAAAACATTTGGAGGCCACTGATTTGGACAGTTAATACAGTCACAAAAATGAATGTCTCAGCTTTTTCCTTGCAAGACACTATTTTAATTTTCTTAGGGATAAGCAATTATTAATTGTGTTGCAATTCTAAATGTTGAACTTCACGTGTAAGTTGTTAAGCAGCATGCAATATGTAGTGTTACATATTATTATCTATCAACCTGCAGCTGGTTATTACAGGAGAGATTTCACTTGATGTCATGATGTTACAGAACTGAAATTAACATATATCAGATAAACTTAATTCACTCTACTGGCAGAATGACATGTGTTATACTTTCCTTGTCTGGTCTGTACATAGTAATTTATGATGCATATAGCAGCATGGAGACAGGTTCCACTAACCTCTGTACTTATGAATTAATCATGCCTGTTTAACTAATGTATGGTTACAGTTAACACATATGTCTACAAGGAGCTGTGAGAAATTATACTAGTTATGTGACCTCACACACATCCCTTGATAACAGCTAGGATCTGACAAAAAGCAAGGTGAAGCTGCAGTACTTACTTTTCAACTATGTCATCTTGTTGTCTGACAAAGAACTGATACAGCTCAAAGGGAGAAGTCTTGTCTCTGTTGAGCCAAACTGCATTGCCAGCAGTCTTTCCCAGTTTATCTCCAGTGGTACTGGTAATAAGGGGTACGGTAATTCCAAACACGTCTGTTCCTGTCATCCTGAGAAGATTGAGGAAAATATAAGTCACATTTTGGTAAAGTTTAGGAACACTCAGACATTCTATAAGATGCTATCCTTTCTGTAAAGCAGTTAAGAAAAAATAACTTGGGCTTAAAAACTTAAGTGCACTTCATAAAAGTGTTCTCACTGCTTTTGCATGCCCTCACCCCCTACCATTTAAGATCCTTGTGTATAATGAAGTACTTTAAATAAACAGCTTTCTGAGCAGCAGCACTGTCACATTTTTTGTCTTCTGCTCTAGGTACTAAATGATGCTGCTCACGAGGCAGGGCCACCTGTCATGCTCACTTTCTGTGCTGACACTGCAGTAGCACACACTGATGTGCCTGCGAGCGCTGTAGCACTCACACCAGCCTTTGCAGACGAGCAGAGCTTCCCCACACCGCCCTGTCAGGGTGGGAGCTGAGCTCCCCTTCCCTCCCTTCCCAGCCCCTCCCCGTACTTGGTGACGAGCTCGTAGCCGGACATGATGTTGCCCATCTGGTCGGCGCCCCCCAGCTGGATGCGGCACCCTCGGCGGCGGTGGAGGTGCAGGAAATCGTATGCCTGCAGCGCCGGGTAGACGAACTCGGCCAGGCTCATGCCCTCGGCGCTGCGCAGCCGCTCGCGGCAGCCCTGCCGGCTCAGCAGCGTGCCCATCCGCAGCCGCCCGCCGGCACCGCACAGGAAGCCGAGCAGCGGCTGGCGGCCGAGCCAGCGGGCGTTATCCAGCACCTCGGCCCGCCCCAGGCCGGGCCCGCCGGGGCCGGGCGCCCAGAGGAGCCGCCGGTGGTTCTCGAAGAGGCGCCACAGGCCCAGCCGCAGGGCGCGCGCGTGGGCGCGCACCCGCCCGGCCGCCACGGGCTCGCGGGCGCGCAGCCGGCCGCTGGGGTCGCCCAGGCGGGCGGTGGCGCCGCCCACCACGGCCACCACGTTGTGTCCCGCCCGCTGGAAGTGCAGCAGCGCCGCCACGGCCGGCAGGTGCCCGACGTGCAGCGAGTCGGCCGTCGGGTCGAAGCCGCAGTAGGCCGTGACGGGCGGGCGGCCCGGCTCCAGCAGCGCCGCCAGCTGCTCCTCCGCGCCCTGCCCCGGGAACACCTCCTGGAACAGGCCGCGCTCGCACTGCGCCGCCAGCAGCCCCGCCGAGCTCCGCGACCGCGGCGCCCGCTCGTGGAGAGGCCGCGGCGCCGGCAGCGGGGCCGGGAGCAGAGCCCGGCGCAGGCCGCCCCGCAGCCCCGCCGCCCCGCCGCAGCGCCGCCCCAGCGCGGGCGCCGCCATCTTGTGCGGGGCACGATGGGGCAGCGGGGCGGGACGGGGCGGGATGGCGCCGGGCGTTGCTAGGGGCGGGCCCGGCCTCAGCCGCGGCGGAGGCCGCCTGAGGGCGCTGCGGGGCTCCCGCGGGGAGCTCAAGTTACAAAGTGCGGCCTTCGACATGATTTTTATTTATTTATTTATTTATTTTCAATAAATGGTGCAATAAAATTACATTACGCGAAGATGTTGTGTGTTCTGTTACCAATTCATACATGATTTTAATAGTCCACGGTAAAAGTGGTGCAGGGCTATCTCCTGCGTGCCTTTGTCTTTCACGGTATTAAAGAAAACCCGCGTAAAAAGAATGTTGTGTTGCCTCGTTCTTCACTTTTTCCCAATCCGCCATCCCAAAACACCGGGTTTTCATATTAACTTTCATTCTCAAATACATTGGAAATCAGGTCTCCAGTTTTGAGTAGTTACTTAGGCAGAACTGATACCAGGCCGTTAAATTAAAATTACTAAGATTACAAAGTTAGAATTTTAAAATTTAAGAATTCTAGAATTTGTGAACTTTCCAAATTTGGACCTGCTTAAAACACTGTCTTTGTTATGATTAATTGGAAATTGGATTCAGTTTCTTTGCGTTTTACTTGCTGTTGACTTCCTTGTTCTTTCCAGTTGTGTTGTTGAATTAAATCGCTTCTGCTGGCAGGGTGGCATGAAGAGACTAGGTCACTCAAGTCATATGCCACCTCAAGGAACTTTTAGACCAGCAAAATAATGTTCTTTTTTCTTCTACAACTTCCCAGAACTGTCCACTCCTCCTTTTGATTGACTTTCTGCTACACATCAGCAAAGCAATGTGTCTACTTCAATGTAACAGGAGTTGTAAAGGACACTGAAAAAGTTTGGGAAATCCCATGTCATTGGTATGGTTTGATGCTTTCATGAAGCCCTGTAGTAGTAGGAAATCAATAGTAGTTAACAGCAAGACTGAGGATGGAAAATTACACCAACTCTTTTAAGGATTTGATGAGAAATTGCATGGCTTTTATAAAAAACCCTTCCAATCTTGGACAGTCTCACTCTGTGTATTGACCATACAGATAAGTATTGGCAGAATATGCATTTCAGGAGTAAAATAGGAGAAGGTATTTAGATTAATACCACAGGAGTTAACACAGACTGGGAAAAGTTTTTTTTTTTTTTAGAGGTCTGAACAGTGTTAAATAATAATACTGATAAAACCCCTATTTTTTAATTCTTCCTTTTAAGTCAGGGAGGGCATTTGTGTGTGTGTAGCAGTGATAGGCCAACTTGACAGCGTGCTTCCAGGGTAGTACTGAGTGGGAAACCAAGTGTTTATATGACTCTGTGATTCACAGGTGACAAAGAAGGAATTTTTAAGTGTTTGTGTTGTCGTTCAAAAGTCATTATCATTGAAGACTTTTTGCTAACAGACCTGTGGGTAAGTGAAGTGTGGAATTATTCTGTTCTATTACATTGGGGAACAACATGATGGAAAGGAGATGGGAAAGGAAATGAGAACAACATGATGGAAAGGAGAGCAGGTTTTGGTTTTGCAGGTTTTACTGCAAAACAGCAACAACAAAAAGTGAATTAAGCACCAGTGATGAAATATTTACAGATGAGAAATATTTAATGGTTGTGCTAATGGTATTTTGTAAGAAAAGGATCTGTGAAGGACTTTAGGTCATTAGATTAGTACTTGTGTACTTAACAGGGACAGTACAAATTGTTTCCTTTTTTTTTTTTTTTTTTTTTTTCTGAAGTATTATTGTGGTGGCTGTTGAAAATAAAAGGGTGGTTGACAGTACAAGGCACTAGATGTTCCTTTGTATTCTCTTTGTATTTATGTTGGGTAAAGGATGTTTATTTCTGAAATGTGAATAAACAGAACTAAATTATATGTTCATATGTACACGCACACAAATATTCTCTTTACTACAGTGTTCTCTTTGCTACAGTTACAATAGTAAATTAGAAAATATTTATTTTATTTTATTTTATTTTATTTTATTTTATTTATTTTATTTTATTTTATTATCACAGAAGAGACCTTCTGGAACCTAGGACATGGAGACTGGTTTGTATCTCTTTGCTCCAGTTAATCATCTCCGTATAGTCAACTGAAACTCACACATCTTTGGCTTCAGGAAATAATACAAAAACAAGACATCACAACAGGAGTTTGATCATTTCTTTGTAGATACAGTAAGCAGCAGGAGGTAAATCACAGCCCTGACCTTTTCTTTGAGTGTTACTTTTTGTGGGGTTTATTAGATTTGTTGTTTGTATGGTGGTATTGCTTTATGGCTGTTAACAAGCTCAGTGCTGCATAGCGGGAACTGGCGTGTGCTCCTTAAGCCACACCAGCACCAACTTTTCTTTGTCTCACTTCATGGTATTTAATGACAGTTAATCTGTATGTGCATTATATAAACAAATATCTATGTATTATATATTTTTATACTTTCTTTTGCCCAGATACTCAGATGTATTGCCAGAACTGCACTAATCAACAGTGTCTTTTCTGTAGCATTAATCTATTTGAATTTACCTGCTACTTGTGACTTGTTTGTATGGACCTGCTCAGGTTGTCATCGCCCATGCACATGCTTAGAAAAGAAGATTTGAATATGTTCCTAGCTTGTCTTATAGAGGAGTCACCAGAGTGTCATGCCCCATCTGACTAGGAAGGTTACAGATTATTATTGCCAGGAAATATTTTTGCTCTTTATATTATTGACAGTTATCCTTAAAAATCTCTAATGACATCCATCCAACCTCTATTGCATGAGAGCATCCTTCTGTTGCAAAGTGAATCTGATGAGTTAGGCAGTTCATTCTACCTACTGGATTCCAAAGTATTAATACTTTTTTTTTTTTTTTCCCCATCACTTTATCTTATCAATGTAGCATACCAATGTGCCCTAATTGTTAATGAGCCACATAGTAGAATGGAAGGAGTTTTCCAGGAAACAGTGGCATTATATTATGTTTGCTTTCCCTACTTGAAAGATGAGGATAAAATGATGTTAAGTTGTCTACATATAGAAATCTTGTGAAGACTGTTTTCCTGTGACTTAAACCACCAAATCATTCTATGACACAAGGAGTGGTTGGTCTCTCTTTGTCTTTTTCTGGGGGTACTCAACAGAAACAGTTTCTCCTACTTTACATGATCCTGGCGATGCACTTAATTTGAACCATTTAGCCAGATTTATCATCACTCTTTGGAACAGAACAGAGCAGGTGAAACACATGGGTGAAACAATATTTATATATCCTGACTGGGAAAAAAATTACATTTTTATCTGTAGCTAGAATGTTAATAGATGGCATGGGCAGTGGTAATGTTTCCTCCTTGGAGCTGTTACTCACCTGGGGAGCATGATTTGTTATGTGGGTGTCTCTGAAGACATTTTTCAACTTTGTACATGTACAGCATGAGAACAGAGCATATTGCAGGCAGCAGCAAGCCCAACGTGCTGCTCTGCCAATCACAGCCTCTTGTGTGCAAGACTTTTACAGTGTTGTGGATCTTCTTTGGATATGTCACAGCAGAATGCCAGGCTGTGAACTCATTCACATAAGGAAGCGTTAGGGATGACATCTGGTGTTCGAGAGAAAACAAACCTTTGTCTGGGCTAAGCACGGCCATGGCAGCTTGTGAAGCAGAGCTCCTGAGTCCTTTCTGCACAGAACAAGAGTGACAGGCTTTGAAGTTTGGGCTTGAAGCTTGTCATGGGTGCTTTATTGCTTTGCTTTCAGATGCTCTAAGGACTGTTGTGCTTTTTTGATATAACTGAAACTCTCTTTTGTCTTTCATTAATTTTCTCATTTCCACAGCTAAAATACAACATAGCTTAATTTTAGCTGTGAATGCATAAACATTAAATGTTTTATCTTGAACACCACCCAGTGTTTGGCTTTTGTTGAAAGCTCTTTATACCCTAGGTTACCTGAGAATGGTGTGTAAAACTATAGATTAAATACTTCACGGTGGTCCACTGTTATCTAAGAACTGAATAATCTGATTGTATATTGAAGTTGGCCCTGCTTTGAGCAGGGAGTTGGATTACGTAACTTCCTGATTACCATTTCAGATCAAAATTACTCTGTGATTCTAATTAGGTACCATGTGGTACATCTACCAGCCTTGTAAGGGAACTATATCCAGTGACAGCATAATTTACTTTTTGCACTATTGTAGCAGCAGTGGCCATTTGAATACTGGGCATTATGTGAGTGCACTGAGATAGGAAAAAAAAATCTCACATACCTTTTCATGGTGTACCACCATACTGCAACTGTCAAATTATTTGTTCTAAGAACCATTCATTTAAAAGAATTAGACAGAGCCTAAGGTGATCTCTCCTGACCGTATTATAGCATTCCAGTAATGTAACAAGGGACAATAGAAAGTGTTCAGGACTGAGTCCTATTAGAAGACAAGCTGAGCCTAAATAGAAATGTGGATACAGTTAGAGATGATTGAGGTGCTGTGCCTTATTATTACAAAATCATCAGGCTTTGTATATGATCTTCTTCCTATAAATCACAAAGTCACATATCTCAGCCTTGTTAGAAAATGATTTTTTTTCAGGCATTTTGTGGGCATTTGCACAAAAAATACAGAACTGATAGCAAAGGCTTAGTCTTTCTTGTGATAAATAGGATAGCTGTGAAAAGATAATTGCTTTCATGGCAAAATAATTGGGCAAATAACATAAACTAGTATAAGAACTACCAAGAGATAATAGTGAGAATGAGGATGTTATTTTTTCCTCTTGATTTGTTCAAGCAGGAATCCTTTATCCTGGCTGCCTGATTCTCAATTCTGCATGATGCTGACACTGAAGGAAAGGAGGCAACCAAAATGGTGTATGAAACCTGCTTGCCTATTCATGTATATAATCACCTTGGTGGTTTGAATGAAATGACTTGGAGAGTCCAGAACTGCTATGTGAAATTAAAGCAAATATAAAAGACTAGCATGAAAGGTTTCTGTGGAGGCTGGTTTGTGCTCACATGGTACACTAGCCAAAAACTATGTCACTGGCATTCATATATATTCCTCCACCTATGTTTTCTTCCTCATTCTTTACTGGGTCCATGAAAACTTTGCCTTTCCCTGCTCTCAAGCAGAGATAGACGTAATCAAACTC